GAGACTGGGGCCCCATTCTCACTCTTCTGAAACAAAACAATGCCCACCCTAGAATCTTATTCCCTGAAAACTAAGCTTCATATATGAAGGAGAAATAAAGACATTCTCAGACAAGCAAAGTCTCAGAGAATTCACCAAGACAAGACCAGCCCTACAAGAAGTACTCAAAACAGTGTTACGCACGGAAAACCATAATAAAAACTCACGATATAAAAAACAAACCAAAACCCAAAGATTAAAGGCCAGATAGTACAATGGCTCAAGAGAGAAATCAACAGCAACAAATCTAACCCAACAGAGATGAACAGTAATCTACCTTACCTATCAGATCTCTCAATAAATGTGAATGGCTTAAACTCTCCACTCAAGAGACATAGGCTTGCTGAATGGATAAGAAAATACAGGCCAAGTATATGCTGTCTTCAGGAAACACATCTAACCTGCAAGGATGCATATAGACTAAAAGTAAAAGGGTGGAGATCAGTTTTCCAAGCAAGTGGAAGCCAAAAGAAGGCTGGTGTGGCAGTTCTAATTTCAGACGATTTAGTTTTTAAACCAACAAAAGTAGTGAAAGACAAAGAGGTCATTATATAATGGTGAAGGGCACAGTTCAACAAGAAGAGATAACAATTTTAAATATATATGCACCCAACTTAGGTGCACCCAGATTCATAAAGCAAACTTTACTGGACCTAAGCAAATGGATTAATAGCAACTCCATAATCACCGGAGATTTCAACACCCCACTGACGGCACAAGACAGATCCTCCAAACAGAAAATTAATAAAGAAATAATGGACTTAAAAAACTCTAGAACAATTGGGTCTTGACTGACATTTACAAGAACATTCTACCCAAAATCCACTGACTATACGTTCTTCTCATCAGCTCACGGACATCTCTAAGATTGACCCATATCCTAGGACACAAAGTAAATCTCAAGAAATTAAAAAAAATAGAAATCATACCATGTATCTTCTCAGATCACAGTGGAATAAAAGTAAAAATCAACCGTAACAGAAACTCACATTTCTACACAAAAACGTGGAAATTAAACAACCTCCTACTAAATGATTACTTCATAAATGAAGAATCAAGATGGAAATTAAAAAATCTATACTCCTACACTGCTGGTGGGACTGCAAACTAGTTCAACCTCTGTGGAAAGCAATATGGAGATACCTTAAAGCGATACAAGTGAATCTACCATTTGATCCAGCAATCCCATTGCTGGGCATCTATCCAAACGATCCAATGACACTCTACAAAAAAGACACCTGCACTCGAATGTTTATAGCAGCACAATTCATAATTTCAAGGCTGTGGAAACAGCCCAAGTGCCCATCAATCCAAGAATGGATTAATAAAATGTGCTATATGTATACCATGGAGTACTATTCAGCTCTAAGAAACAATGGTGATATAGCACATCTTATATTTTCCTGGGTAGAGCTGGAACCCATACTATTAAGTGAAGTTTCCCAAGAATGGAAAAACAAGCACCACATATACTCAACAGCAAATTGGTATTAACTGAACAGCACCTAAGTGGTCATATAGGTACTGCAGTAACAGGGTATTGGGCAGGGGGGAGGGGGGAGGGTATATACATATATAATGAGTGAGATGTGCACCATCTGGGAGATGGTCATGCTGGAGACTCAGACTTGTGGGGGGAGGGGGGAAAATGGGCATTTATTGAAACCTTAAAATTTGTACCCCCATAATATGCCGAAATAAAAATAAATAAATAAATAAACATAATAAAATGTTCTTGAGAGTGTTAGAAATCAGGGAAACGCAAATTAAAACACAATGAGATACCACAATATAACCATCAAACTGGCAAAAAATTTCAAGTCTAGAAATACCAAGTACAGGCAAGGAAGTGAAGACATGAAGCACTTACACATACAGTGCCAGTGGGGTGTGAAAACTGACACAACTGCTTCTAAAAACAATCTGGCATTACCTAGCAAAGTTGAAATGAACATGATCTATGACTCAGCAATTCTACTACAAGGACTATATCCTAGTCCTGCACACATCCAACAGGAGATATAAATAAGAATGTTCAGGCCTGCACTGTAATGGCAAAACTCTAGAAACAAACCAAATGCCAATCACAAAGGAATGGATAGAAAATTATGGTATGTTCAATTGTAGGTATAATTAATTCATTTTCATTACTGTCTGGTATTCAGCAGTGATATGTCAACCTAAATATTAGGTTATTAAGTATGAAATGTCTGATTTCCTTAAGTACTAAGTTTGACAGTTGATATCTCTGACATTTCATTTTGATAGTTGTTTTATTTTTATTGTGAAGGTAAATCCTCAGTCTTTCAAACACACATTTTGGTTTGTGATTATCTTTCAAATTTTTTTAGAGCAATTTTTGTGAAACCATGGACAAGTCAAAAATACTTGTTATTTTTCAATATAAGTTCTGAACCAATGCAGTGCAGACAGCTGGAAATACCAGCAAAGTGTTTGGGAAGGATGTGGCTAATGAATGTACAGTACATCAATGATTTGAGAAGTTTCATTCTAGAGATTTTAATGTTGAAAATGAGCCATATGGGTAACTTGAAAACAAAATGGATAATGATGAGCTGAAAGCTGTAGTGAAAGCAAATCTATCTTAATCTACAGTGAATTAGCAGCAAGGTTTGATATTACTATTCCAACAGTTGACCATTTGAAACAAATCAGCAAGGTAAAGAAGCTGGATAGATGGATTCCACATGAATTCAATGAGCATTGGAAAAGAAATCATCTTGAAGCTTGCCTTTCTTTTCTGTCATGACATAAAGACAAATCGTTTCTACACTGTATTGTTACATGTGATGAAAAATCGATTCTTTTTGACAATCACAAGCATTTGGCACAATAGTTGGACAAAGATGAAGTGCTGATACATAGTCCAAAACCAAATATTCATCAAAAGAAGCTAATGGTGTCTGTTTGGTTGTCCAGTGCTGGTATTATCCATTATGGCTTCATGAAATCTGGTCAGTTAATTACAGCGGATCTCTACTGCAACCAATTGTACGAAACGATGAGGATGCTTGTGATTAAGCAGACGAGATTGGTCAATAGAGATAGGCCAAGCCTCTTGCAAGTCAACCACATGTCGCACAAACAATGCTGCTCAAATTACAGAAGCTGGACTTGGAACTCTCTGTCATCCACCGTATTCACCAGACCTTGCACCAACTGACTACCACTTCTTCTGGACTTTGGACCACTTCTTGCAAGCAAAAATATTCAAAAATATTCTCAACAAGCTGTGGCAAACACCTTTTGCGATTTCATCACCACTCGCTCTCCTAGCTTCTTTGCTGCTGGCATAAACAAGCTACCATTAAGATGGCAAAACTGTGTTGACAGTTTAGGTGCATACCTTGATTAATTGTACTGCTTCTTGTTTGAGATATAATAAACCACACTTTTGATTTGAAATCAGATATTTTGTATTTAATGGCACTGCAATGCTTTCTTCCCAAATAGATATCTTGTGTTTTAGAGAGCCTCTGTTATTTAACATACGAAATACTGTACAGCTGTGAAAATAAACAAATTGACAGCTACATCCAACAACATGGATGAATTTCTGGAACACAATGTTGAAAGGAAAAAGCAAACTACAGAATAGTAAATGTTATGTCCATCAAAGTTCAGAAACAGGCAAAACAAAGCAGTTATTTAGGAATACAAACGGAGGTCATAAAAGTATGAGGAAAAGATAAACATAATTCAGGATGATGGTGACCTCTGAGCAGGGAAGAAAGGGATCCAGGAGGGACACACGGGATTTATAAAGTAATAATAAACTAGGTGACGAGTGTTCGTTGTATATTCTTCCAACTTTACGAATACTTCGTAAATACACTATTATTTTGTAGCTATTTAATGTCTAACAAAAATAACTGTTAAAACAGCAACTTAAAGGAGAAAACGCCATAAAGTTTTAATAGATGGTAAAAGGCATTTCACAAAATTCAGCCAGTCTCCAGGGGGTACAAGCCACATTACATTCTGTGTGACTAGTGCCCCCTGGCGCCCAACTCAGGCAGGAATGGCAGCTAAAGAGTCTCAGAGGCCCCAAGTTAAAGAGAAACTGAAAGCAACTTAAAGCCAACCTTCACATTTGGATTTCCACCCACATCAGAAACAGGACCTGGATAATTATTCAACATTGTTTCAGAGGCTCTAACTGCAGCAAAATGACAATTAAATTGGTATGATGGCAAGTTTGCAAATTGTATCTATGAAAAACATATTTCTTTTTAAAACTATGGGACTTCCTAAGATAGAAAACAAATTATATTAAATCATTAGCTTTTCTCTATATTAATAATCAGTTAAGTAACAGAGATGGAAAAAAAGTATCCTATCACAATAATGACAAAACCATATAACACTTAGGAATAAATTTAACCAGAAAGTTATAGAACCCGTATAAAGAAAGTGTAAAATCTTAGAAGACCTAAAAATAAGCCTTGAACAAACGGAAAACCATTTCGTTTTCTTTGGGGAGATTTAATATCATAAAAATGTCAATGTTCCCAAAGGTTACATTTAAATTTAATGCAATTATAATTTAAATCCCAACGGATTCTGCCCCCCCCCCCAGGGATGGGAGAACTGGATAAAGCAATTTAAAATTTAATGTGAGAGAATAAATTCTTAGACTGGGAAAGTATTTTTAAAAAGAAACACAAAGAGGGGGAGTGATCCATCTACATGCTGATGACGTCCAGAATTACTGCTTCATCTAGGACCTCACCCCTCACATCAGACTCACCTGTGCAACTGAGGACAGACGTCTCCATTGTGTAAGGGGGCATCTCAAACCCAACAGGTCCAAACCAAACAGACTGGAATATAAATAATAACCAAAGTGGTTCATTTCGTAAGTGGAACTGGGATAAGTGAATTTCCACCTGGAAAAGAAACAAAGCATGACTCCTACCTTACTGCTTATACTAAAATATATTCCACAGAGACTGAAGTTTGAAACACAAAATACAAAACGTTGAGACAAAATGTAACAATGCTTGTGGGGGCAGGGGTTAAGAGAAGAGTATGGATTTTCTCAAGCATGCTAAGAACCCAAAAACCTTAAAATATTTACCTTTGAACAAACACCGACAACCAAGCCGAGGACAAACGTGTAGAAAATGGACCAAACTTGTGACACCCAAGAGGCCTCTGCAGCTCGGCCTCGGGTCCGTGAGAGGCCACACCGGCAGGCCCTTTAAGGCAAAATGAAAAGCACGCAGCTTCCTTTCCAAGTTCTCTACTTTGCACTAATAAAAGCACCTACCATAAGGATATTTATACAAAAAATGTTTTCTGTCTGCCCGGGTGTGGGTCGACCCTTGCTTGCCCCTGTGACACCCTTATGTGAGGAGACCCCGCGAGCCACGAGACCCGCAGCAGACTCGCGATTCTTCCAAAGCGCATGCGCCGGGTGCCGCAGCACGTGCCACGCACAGCAACACTGCGCAGGCGCTGTTGCACGCCCCAGTCAAGGCGTCTGGTTGGGACAGGAGCGCTCTCCGCAGGTTACGACCGTTGGCGGGTTGGGCGTTGGCCACCCCCAAAGCTTCTGACGATGTAGCCGAGTGCGGGCATCCTGGCCGTGTCCTTTGGGGCTAGGTGAGAATTTACAACCAGCCGTCAGCACGTGTCTACTGTGGTAGCTGACGACTACGCGTAAGGAACGCAAAAACTCAACCTTCTGACAAATGGGGGTTCTCTTCCCCTGCCTACCACAGCGCCCCAAACGCCGTCTGGTGACAGATGGTTCAAGTGGTGGGGAGGGGAGCGAGATCTCAGAGCTTTGGGGGGGCGGGTGATGGGGATGAGGAATAGTAAATCAAAGCAGTGGAGCGGAGCTGGCCACAGCTTCCCAAGAAACTTGCGTTACTGGGGAAGGAAGGGGCTCCAGACTCCCTGGAAGCATCTCAGCAGAGTCCGGAGGAGACAGGAAGGAGGATGTGTCTGTGGGATCCTCTCCCTCTCACTGGTCCAAGTTGCCCCAGTGATATGAGCCCCCCCTCCCCACCTACCAGGTCTTAGCTGGCAGCTGCCGGGGTGCCAAAGCCCCAGGAAGTACCAGAGGCACCTGTGGCGCAGGCCTGATGGAGACCCAGCCCCCCCCTCACACTTGGGGGGCACTGAAAGTGAAACTGGCCAAACAGATGGCCTTGGGGTAAGTGCATCACCCCCACATCGGCCACTGAATAAGCAGCTGAAGGCCTACAGGTAGAAAGTGGAGACCAGAGAATCTTGGGAGCAAAGACTGGGGGTCAGGACAGCAAGGTTCTTTGGGGCCCCATCCCAACTTCAACTACAGCAGATTCCAGTATTACTGGCTTTCTATATGGGCTGTTAGATAAATTTTGGGTAAGTTAACTGGTCCTATAACTAAATAATTTTAGAAGAGGAATGGGGAGCCAGAGTGGGCAGTGACTTGTCTGAGGCCTTGTGAGAAGGGAAGGGGAAAGGAAATTTCTGCTGGACCCACTAGCGGCTGCCTGGAGCCTGACACATTGTAAGTTACTAGGTGAAAATGACCAGACTCAAAAAACAGACCTGGCAACATTTTGGCTCATTTGCTGAGTGGGAGGTACCTTGCCAGGCCCTTCCTCTGTACAGTCTGTCTTGCTCTCTATGGAGAGGGTGCCCCCAGCAGTGCCAAGAACTGACAGTCTAAGGCCTCAAACTGGCAACAAAGATAAGTTTTTATTTTTGGACCTCTGCCTCCCATGGCCAAGCTGGCTGTTCACCTGCTCTGAGAATAACAAGCAATGTGGCTGTTTCTAAAGAAGCCTCAGAGTTCCATCCATCTCCAACAAAGGCCAGAACCCTCCAGTGGAATTCTGAGGAGGCTTACGGCACCCTGGTAACTGTCAGTGGGTCACTTACAACCTGGCTTAGCTGCAGAACAACCTTCCGATGGAGACAAGTAGCCAGTGGAAGCACACAGCTCACTCAGGCCAAGCCTTGAATTCTATGTAAATGGCAGATTTAGGAGCTTTATCATGTTTAAGACTTATTGGTCCTCATAGCTGCAAACTGTTGCCCAACACTGCTTGAACCATGAGTCTGCAAGTCACATAGCCTCAAGGAACTGGACCCAACAAGAGGAGCCTGTATGGCAAAAGGCACGGTCACTCACATATACAGAAGGAGAGAAGCATTTCTCAGCCTCTTACTAACCCAAGCCTGCCTTTAGTAAATGAAAATGCCATAACCCTGCCCTGACCTAGGCAGTATTTATCCTAAGTGGAGTTGTTAATCCTAAATCCCTAGGACTCTTAGGGGCTGAGGGGTCCCATAAGGTGGATATTTTCCCGAGGGCTTTGCTACTTTTCATCTGACTTACAAAAAGTTCCCTAACCAAAGATTCAGAACTATCACCCTGTACTGAGGAGAAACACTACTGGCCAAGGAAGATGCTTAGTCTCACCTTTCAGATTAGTAACAGTTAAAATATTAAGTACTACATACTGGTGAGTAGTAGGGGGCACTGCTGGTAGTAGTTCAAATTGGAAGTCTTTTCTGGAAGGCTGTGTGGGAATGTATCCTAGAATTTTTAATATACACACTGTCTGACGCAGCCATCTCTTTTTGGAATTTACCCTACACTACAAAAACAGATCCAAGTTAATGAGTAAATACACACACACCACAGCATTTTTCATAAAACATTAGAAACAACTCAAATGTTTTTTAACTAGGAGACTGTTAAGACGAAATGCTCTGGTTAAGAATAAAATAGACCCATATGGGATATTCTGAAACAAGTTCCAAGCTACACTAAGGGGAAATAGGCAGAAATGGAACAGAGCAGATGTGTGCAGGCACTCAGGGACAGCACACTGTCTCCAGGGAGAATTCAGGGATTGGGTGGGAGGGAGCCTTGCTTTTCATAGTCCAGCCTTTCATATTGTTTGAATGTTTACCATGTGCCTCTGTCACTTAAAAACAAACAAAAAAACATACCCTAAAGAAGGTCCCCATCCCTCCCTCTCATTCTTTAAAAACCACAGTTGCTGGCCTCACTTTCTTGCAGCCTTGTACAAAGGACCTTCCCAGCCAGACCATCTCCCTCCTCCCAAGTTGTCAAGAGGTTCCAAGCTCATCAGCTGTCTCAGGGGGTGGGGGGTTGAGGGGGGTGGTAGGTTGCTGCATTTTATCTTCCCATCCAGAATGGCAGGATCTCTGCCTGGAAAACAGAGCACAGCTACAGTTGGATTAACCTAGCAAAATGGGCACATCCAGAAGTTGAAGCTAAAACATTTTAAGAAATTCAGTCTGTTTCTGTGGTGGTGTTAAGGAGGGTGAAAACAAAACGAGGATGGTGCAGATGAGGAAGACCTCGAAGACCATTTAAAGCCATAGTATTAGAAAGTATGAAGAGGAAGGTGCTGGATTTTACTGAGAAGAAAACAAACTGAGTTCAGAAGTCTCACCAGTACAGGTTTATATGCATTTTGATTACATGTGTGTAAATAAAAAACTTATTACCTTCTGGTAAAAATGTAGAACCAACTTGCTTTTAAAACAGGTTTGGGGATGAAAATGGACCACATGCTTCCTGGGATGAAGAGAGCGAGCTGGATGGGAGGGGAATCACCAGCTTAAGAAATAGAATCTTCCACAGGAAGAGGCCAGGGTCTCTTTCAGAGGTATTCCCCAGGGATGTGGTCTGAGGAAGCCCAAACCCCACCAGTCACAGGCATATCTGGCCAACTGTACAAGAGGGGAAAGACTGCCAATTCCAGTGTGGCCTGCATCCCTCACCACTGTTCCTGGTTGTCTGCAGACCTCACAGAGCAGCAGGGTGGCCACTGCTGGCCTGGGTCGGGCAGATGCCAGAAACACACCACCTGAAGAGATACGGATCATAGATCAATGGTATATGGTCATAGTTCTTGTGACTTCAGAAAACCCAGAGGCCTCAAATAGGAGAAGAGTTGGGTAAAATTGAACCAGAATTCTTCCAATGGCCATTAAAGACAAAACTTAGCAATCCTTGCCTTTGTCTTCAACCCTGAGAAATTGCTTGAGGGACAAAGATTCTGGGGCTGTGATGGGGCAGGGAGGAAAGGCATGATGTGCTGCTTCCTGCATAGGTGCCTCTGGAGTCCCTGCAGCCAGTGCAGGGATGTCTGTCCCAGAGCATTTGGGCTCAGTAGGGTCAGGCAGAGAGGAAGAAGTAGAAAAATCAGCAGCAGGCTCTCCAGATCAACTGGCACCATCTGAAGCTGCCACATCCACGTATGCAGGCCTCTGCCAGCTCAGCACCAGGAGCATTTTCACACACAAGCTCCTTCCCTGAGGAATCCCGTGGAGTTCCAACATTTGGTGTGCTACCCAGGTGAGAGATCTGACCAAAGGCAGATCTATGTATACCTCAACCTGGACTCAAATTGAGACGGGGAACCTCACTGTTCATGGTTAACAAAGGAAATCACTCAGATAGACTGGGAGGATCTTTCTTCCCCAAGCTGTTTGGACAATGCCACAGCCAGGATGACTCTGCAGACACTCATATCCCTCACATGAAATTGGGAGCTGTGAGAAGAGCCCCCTCTAATGTGGAACCTCCTCTGACACACAGCCCCCTGTGAGTCCCATGGATGTGAGCCCCCAGGGGGGCCACCACTCTGAGGGACTCTCTCCCTTCCCCCATTACTCAGATCCCCATGTTGTTCATCCTCTAGGAGAAAAATAAGCCCTGCCACTGGAGCCTCTCCAACTTCAAGATGGCACTGGACTCACCACCACCTTGAGGAGCCAGGAGCTCAAGTGGCTCCAGCTTGGCAACCTGGTGTGGTGAAAGTGGAAAGATTCTCTGTCCTTTGCCCAAGAGTCACCAAAAAAAAAAAAATTATGGTCTCACAGGCACAGCATATTTTTTCTTTTAAAAAATAAATATTTATAAACTTAGGGAGGAAGATTCAAAGAATCAGAGTATCTTTCCCTCCAAAAGCACAATTGTCCCATGTGAGTCAAATCAAGGTAAGTCCACCAACCCCATGAATGAATCCCCCCACCCCTGAAGCTGCTGAGTTGAGGGGCAGGTGGGCAAGGGAGCTGATCTCCAGCTCCCACCCTCAGTCCCCCTTGGTGATGAGGTCCTCGATGTAGGCATCCAGCTCGTCATCTGTGTTGATGTCTATGTCCTGGAACAAAGCAGGGCAGGGATCAGCCAGGGGCCAGAGGTAGTGGGAGGCTCGCCCCTCCACCCTTCTCCCGGGTCCTGGGGCTGAGGTCAGAGTCCCCCTCCAACTCCCTTTCTGCCCTGTTGGCCTCTGTCACACATGATCACTCTCCCTTCCCCATGTACTGTGCACAGAAGACACCCAGATTTCTTATTCCTGCCCTACCTCCACCCCACAATAGGACTGTTTCCCTTAGAAGTATATTTCCTCAGATACTACAAATGTGTCCACTTCTCCCCACTTCTCACTGTCACCACCCAAGGTCCAGGCCACCACTACCCCACCCAGGCGACTGGAAGTCTCCTCATGGGAGGCCTGGTTCTAACCTCCTCCCCTCTAGTGATGTCTCCCTGCTCTCAGGACCAAATCCCACCTCACACAGCCCCTGCCTCTGCTCATACCGTCCACAAGTCCCCAATCAGGTCTCATGTCCTGCTCTTCTTCCCTGACTGAAACACTCATGTCCCACAATTTGTATGATCAGCTTCCAGTCCCAGCTCAAATACCTAACCTCCTCAGAGACTAACCCTGAACACCCTAGTTGTTAAGGGGCCTCCCACCATTTATTGTAACTCTTGTTATTTACTTCATAGCACTTCCCACCATCAGTCTCCTTCACCAGACTGTCGGGCTGTGAGACCAAGAACCTCCTCTGGCCTGTCTGGTTTGCCCCATCCATATCTATAAGCTAGGAACAGAGCAGGCCCTTGCTGCTTGCTGCCTAGATGAAGGATCAACACCCTAAGGGGCACTCCCTTCTAGGTTTCCCAATCCCATCTGGGCATCATCTGAAAAAGCAATAACTTCTTTGTTTTTATGGCATGGAAGGTTCTCAAACCAGGTTGTACATCAGAATGTCTAAACAAGGGGGAAAGCCTGGTTCTGTGGGTCTGGCTGGGATGAGGCCCAGGCAACCACACCACCTCAAGCCCTCCTGGTCAGGACATTGTGCAGCCAGGGTTGGAACCACAGATTCCTGTGAGTAGATAGATGCCTGTGAGAAGGGAAGAGGAGGTGCCCAGGCTCCTTCCCTGAGAGACCAGGTGGTCCAGCTGCAATGAGAGGGCTGCCTATCTCACCTCCTGCACCTTTTGCAGGAGTGCCACGATGTTGGTCCTCAGCTTCTGCAGCTTCTCCTCTGTCTCACGGAGCTTTCTCTCAGAAGTGCGCAGGCTCTCCTCGGAAGCTTTGGCCCGTGAGTCAGCGCGGCTTTGGTAGGAATGGCACAGATTCTGGAGCCCCACTTCATACTGCTTGAAGTACTCTTTCTGTCGAGAGGGAAGCCAGGAGGCAACTGCAGAAGTTCGCATGGGTCCCCAGGGACCTTCTAGACAGGTATGGTATCCCCTATCAGCTCCACACAAGGACGCTTGGTTTGAAGAAATACCTCAGATACAAAGGGCAAGCAGTCTCTCTAGGTGTAGAGGCATCTAAATGCCTATCTTGTGGAAGGAAGATGACGACGAGATCACATGGGTAAAACACTGAGCAAGGTGCTCTGGCAGACAGCAAGCCGTGAGTACATGGGGAGGGGTGATTCTTATCCCCCCTAAAGAAAGGACAAGATTCTCCCAGCTCAATCATACCTTTCAAACTTCAGAATGGTCCTTCCAGTATTCCACTTCCAAGTCACACCCAACAATATTATGACTAAAGTCAATTCTTTTCCATAAATATTTATCAAACACCTACCAATAGCAGATACCTCCTGATTTTTAGTATACTTTTCTGCAGCACCAGATTTTTACTGTTTTCCCTGAGTACCTGAAGCTTCCAAGGGGTGGAGTAGGATTAAGTAACAGTTTCTGTAGACAGATGGCTTTTCAAACTTTTAAAATGTAGCAGAATACTTGTTTCAAATGAAATGCGACATGAAATCTCAGTGTAAAAAGATTTATATAATATCTCTTTAGGTTAAATTTACTTTCTGAGTTCAAATTTGTAACAGGACTTATAAATTACCAATCAGGATGATGAGGCCACTATGAAGAATACAAAGCCACAAGCAGCACTGGCTGGCCACTGCCGTTTATCACCTTATGACCTAGAATATTATCCTATTAAACCAAGACAGCACGAGAAATTTCCAGTTCTGCACAAAAAATAGTTGCCTGCTACTAAAAAAATAACAGTTTGAGTGATTTTAGACATTACAATTAGGAAAACAAAGTTGATAAACTGGTATACCTCCCTTTAAAGAAATAAGCTAATACACTATTTTTATACTCAGAAGATCATGCTGTTTGGGGCCAAGCAGTCGATCACACTCAGAGATCCTGCTGTACCCAGGCTTTGCTCCGAGTTTGGCAACAACTTTAAGCCAAAAGCAACAAATCTGACAAAAGATGCCAGGCAGACCTAGCCATCCTATCAGCTGTTTGTTCCTCCTGGGATTGCAGAGAGTGACGGCAGCCTAAACAAGGGCAAAAGTTGAATGGTAGAGCTTTCTGTGAAAAAAGCCATGGTGACTTCTACCACCTTCTAGTTTCCTCACCAAGCACCACCTCTCTCATCTCACAGGGAGAGCAAGGTCCTTTTCCTAAGAAGAACCTGGGTTCAAATCTGGGCTCTGTCACTGAACAACAAACAGACTCTTTACCTCTCTGAGCCTTAATTTCTTTAACTCCCAGCCTCATTTCAGTTTTTAAAAAGAATAGAGATAAAACCCCATGTTTTTCTCTCTGGCAAACTCAAGTACAGAGCTGCCACATGAAGGCCTAACATCTTGAACAAACTAGTCCTGTAGTCTCCACTCCTGTCCTCTAGAAACTTCTCTAGAAAACATAGCTCTTCCTACCATATAAAAAAATCCCACTTCATGTGGATAATTCCCAGATCCCCATCTCCTCCAGCTTTGACTCCCCTCCCTCCCAGTGCCAGTCCCCAATCTCCACCTGCCCACACCACATCACCAGAAACAAAGTGCTGGTACTTCCAGCGCCATACAAGGCTCTCCTCATCACCTTCCTTGCACTCACCCTCTGTTTTCTCTCCCAGTTAATAGCTTTGTCATCAACCTCCAATTTCCACAGGCCTGAGACACAGGAAAGTATGTGGTTTCTGCCTCCTCCCTGTTACTTGCCCATAGTCAATGACCAGTAAGTCTGTCAATGACCTGACACAGTCCTTTTACCCCCCAAGCTGCTCCCACCACTCTGGCTCCTGGCCCTGTTCCTTCACCCCTGACACCTCCTTACAATAGGACCAGCCTCCTTACCCCTGCATCTGCCATCCACTCATCCTACCCAAACATGCTGCTACTAAAATTACCCTCTTAGGGCCCTGGACCAAAGCCACCTGGCTGCCTGTTTTTGGAAATAAAGCTTTATTGGAACACAGCCACAACCATTCCTTTACATATTGCCTGTGGCTGCTTTCATGCTATAATGGCAGAGTTGAATGGTTGCTATAGACCATATAACTCGCAGACCTGAGATTATTTGCCAGTTGGTCCTCTACAGAAAAAGTATGTTGACTCCTGCCCTAGATACGGTTCTGATTTATAACATCTTCAGCTCAAAACTTTCTCAGGTACTCTCTACCCTATAGGGTTTAAGCCAGTATGACTTAGACCAGGCATTCAAGACACATCAGATCCTGGCTCTCATGCCCTTCTAACCCTAAATGCTCACCACACAACCTACGGCCCTGACCCCTGCCTAGTCACAGAGTCTTTGCTCACAAAAGTCCCTGCCTCAAACACTCCCTTTCACTTACACAGGCAGGTATTTGGGCCAAAATGTATGTTTTCTCCAGACTGTGTTGCTTTCTCCATCTTCCCCAGGCTGCCAAAGCCCTCCTGTCCCCTTCCATAGCACTTATTGCTCCTGGCCTTGTGTCCAGCTACCTGGTCTACCAGCTACTCAGTCCCAATTGAATCTTGAGCCACTTGGGGGCAGGACTCTCTTGCTGCTCACTATGAGGTCCCTTAGAAGACCTGCTTAGGGGAAGTGCCACATTAACATGTGCTGGGTTAAACAAGACCCAGTGCTCTATCTCCAGTTTCTCTATACCTCCATCCCAGAGTCAAAGTTTAGGCCCTTTGAGCTTAAGCTCTTGACTACTGCCTGAGACAGGTGTTTATTCCCTCTGCTGGGAGAGAGGAAAAGGGATATATTTGTCCTAAAATGTCAAACCAGGCCTCTTAAGAGAGGACTCATCTCCTAGCACCTATGGTAGGGTGGGGTTGGCTTTCTACACATCAGAGTCATATCCAACTAAGCCACTTTTCCTCCACAACATAAAGTCTCCTCTTTCCTTCTTTCAGCATAAGAAAAAAGAAGCTGGCTGAGGTAGGGCATGAGGCTTAGAACTGGAAACTGCAACAAGCACAACAATCATAAGCCCAGGGGGTGTGGGAGATGAAGTGTATGAAATCAAAGGTCAGGCCAGACTCACCAGAGGAAAAGATATTAGCTCATCTGAGTTCATAGCACTCAGCTCCTTCTTGGAGATGGGGAAACTTGGAGGCAGGAAGTACCGTAAACAATTCCTATGCAAGAAAGAAGTGGGGACAGGAAATTAGAAAAGCATGCAGGGAGTGGAGAGCCACTGCTGGCCGGCCCTTTAGAAGCTGGAAGACAAAAAATATACCGAAGGATCTGGACGAGCAGGTCAATGGTCTCATGGTTGGTGCTTGGGGCGGTGGTGTCGGGCTCAATACGGATGCAGTCAGAAGTGGAGGGCTCCACCATAGCTACAGCCTGCTTGGCCACCCCAGTCTCCTCCTCCTCCCCACCCTCCTGCTGTGTGTCAGGGCTCTGATTCTCCGGAGAAGGGGGCTTCATCAGCCGCACATCCTCACTGCCTTTCTCCACCCTATGGAGGAACACATAGATCGTGTCACATCCATTCCAGGCTCCCAGGATGGGCTGCTGGCAGGGGGGCTGGGAAAACCTCCTCCCCAGAACCATTGCTCCCCCTCAATAGGGACATTACCAGCGGTCTCTTGGTGTCGTGTCTGTGGGCACGTAGTCAAACTTCACCTTCCACCGCACCACATTCTTGCCTACCTCCACGGCTGTGACACGGCCCGTGTACCACTCCCTGTTCACACGCACCTCCACGTGCAGCCCTTTATCTGAGAATTTGGACAGAGGTGTGAGAAAACTAGACAAGAGTCCATTACTCAGCGAGGGCTGCCTTAAGAAAGGTAGTCCCCAGGGTTTAGAGGACAAGAACCCCTATGTCCTTGCCCCCACCACACCAGGGACATGGGGCACACCCATCTTGCTATCTCCTGCCCCATCTGTCACTACGGTGTCAAAAAGAGCAGAAGGATGAGTGCCTGGCAGGGTGAACACCATGGAATTAGTATTCAAAATAACCACAGTGAGGTGCTATCTTCAGAATTCTGCTTGGGATTAGATTTGGATCCACTGCTGCAAGGCCCCAGACTCAGCCGACTCCACAAGCCTTGGGGATTAAACTGCTGCTGGAGAGGGGCTCCACTTCCCCTACAGAACAGTCTCCATAGTGCAGTGATTATCAACGTTTGCCTCACGCTTGCACCATAGGCTGCCAGGTACCTCTCCCGGACTCACCTTTCTGAGCCCTCTTGAGCTCAGTCGAATCCTCTTCCCCAGCACTGTCTGAGAGCTGCAAGGAGAATAGTCCATCAGAGGCAACCCCAGTCCCCCTGAAGTAGCAGACTTCTATGCTACTGCTACTCAGGGTCATCCACCACCATCTTCACATCTTCCTACAATGCAGTTTAAATTATTACCATGCCTCACTAAGAGCCACACTCCAAAATCATTGTCCAAGGTACTTACCTTTCTGCCACCTTTATAAACAAGATAGCAAGTAAGGAACAGACACAGGGAAGCAAAGTGTTTCAAGCTCCCTGACATACATCAGTGTGACTTCAGGCCTGTGTTTAGAGCCAGAAACTAGTCTAAAGATCCCACCTGGCACCATGTTTCCAGTCATCTGCATTACTGAAAGTCCTTGAGAGATCAACTAGGCTTCTGGAAGGCTCATGTCATGAACACACATGGAGCTGGTATGGACCACTGGTTGGGGGCACAGGCCTTTGGAGAGAGGCTCTGGGAACCTCACCTCAACTACCTACCTCATTGAAGTCCTTCTTTTCCTCCTTCACAGCAAATTTGCCCCGCTTGCACCTCTCCTTCCTCCTCTCAGCCTCTTCCTCTGCTTCTTCCTCATCAGAGACCCCAAGACTCCGCTTTCGACCAGGGGTAGCCTAGAGCAAAAGGAAAGTGAGAATGGGAGGGGCCCTGTTCAGCCCTCAAGGAGCAGGAAGATATCACCTGGTCTAAAGGAGCCATTCAGAGGGGGGGCTTGTATTCTCCTCAGTCCTCACCTGATATCACCATGTACATAACCAACCCCTTGGCCCCTACACCACGAGAACCTTTGCTTAAAACTGTCATGGGGGAAGACTCTCTCATTAGCCTGCCAGGCCAGCCAGCTGTGACCACCCTGAGACAAACCGACCAGTGCCACAATCCCTCAAGGCTGTCTGTCACCAGGTTATTGACCTATGCCCACACTGTGAGAAGCTAGTCGAGCTGACTCAAGTTTGTGCAGACTTGGACAGAGAACCCAACTTGCTCCATGCCCCTGACCAAGTCCCTTCAGCTATCTAGGCTTTCCCTCCTCAGTGCAGCAGAAGAGCTTTAGATTTGGTGATCTTCCCAAGGCTCCCCCAGTACAGTGCTGACACTGCATGATTCCATTCCTCTACCACTGATGATGGCGTGAGACTAGAAAAGGAAAAGCATCTCACCGGGGAGACTTTAGTGGGTGGCTCCGGCTTCTTGACTACTGGAGTCTTGATGACTTTGGGGGCAGAGACCTCTCGGGTGCTCTTGGAATTGGGCAGTAGAGATGGTGACAGTGGCTGCATCAGAGGGGTGGGCCGGGGAGCAGTCTTGACTGGGGTGTTCACAGGCTTTCGGGGTGCCTCAGGTGGCTGGAGCAGTCTGGATGTACTGGCCTCCTCCCGAGCTGCCAAAGCAGGGGGCTTTGGGGTGCTGCTAATGACAGGAGCTTTTCGGGGCTGGCTGGCTGGTCTGGGAGCTTGCAGGGAAGGGGGTCTGCTCGGGGCATTCCTGATCACAGCAGGTAAAGGGGGTGACCGAGGACGCTGAGGTCTACGTGCAGGTTCCTAAAAAAAGCCCACAGAGAGTGAGAATACTGATCTTAGCATGAGATCCCTGGAGAAAAGCCCCTCCCATGCTCCTGGGCTTCACCTCAGTGGAAGGTCTGGTGGTCACTTCCAAGGGCAATTTCTTCAGGTCAGCTTGGGAGCGGATGGGTGTGGTTTTCTGCAGGGCAAACATGATAAAGTTATTTGCATATCTTGGTAGATTCAAGCAAACTTTTTGGATCCCCACTTATGTCTCCGTGACAGTGAACAAATAAAATAGAACACCTGAGCCACAGTCCTACTCTTAGAAGTCTCCCATTCTCACTGGGGAGACAAAGATACATAAACACTAAACTATCAGAAACTCACAGGCTACTATGTGATTAATCTGGCAACTGGGAGACTGGGAAAAAGTGTCAATGAACTAATAAATTCCTATAAAAGGAACCAAAAAAGGCCTGATGGATGGGGGAAACTTGGACAAGGCCAGAAAGGACAGATGGGATTCAGCAGACCAGACAGAGAGGCACATATAAGACATCACAGGTTAGCGAAAGCACATCTACACAGACACAGAAGCCAGAAAGGGAAATACTTTTGTAATAAATATGATAAAGGGCTGATAACACAAGCATATCTAGAAAAAATAAACAAGTTAATTAAAACAGTAGAAATGTAAAAGCAATTCTAAAAGAAACATGAGAGGACATATGAAAAATCATCCAATCTTAGGATATGAAAGAAATTAAAAGATGCATATCTTTGCCTATCAAATTTGCAAGAACACTGAAAAATAATACTCTCATATACTGGTGGTAAAGAACAGAAATTAATACATCTTCTGGAGGGTAGTTAAGGAATAGTTGTAAAAAGTCACAGAATTCTGCAAACCTTTTTCTCTTTCGATTTCACATCTAGAAAATTATCAAGAAAGTAATTATGCACTAAAACAGGTGTATATAAAATACATACATAGCATGACCACCATACTTCTATTAAAAATATACATGTATTTGTGTATTAAGTATAGGTATTAGTGACAATTTAGAAAGATGTATGGTTAATGAGAGTTACCTCTAAGGTAGGATTTTTATTTTATAGAGTTTTTATACATTCTAAATGAATCAGACCACTTCAAAATATATAAACAAAACTGTTGTCTTTTTTTTTTTTGAGGCAGAGTCTCGCTTTGTTGCCCAGGCTAGAGTGAGTGCCATGGCATCAGCCTAGCTCACAGCATCCTCAAACTCCTGGGCTCAAGCAATCCTGCTGCCTCAGCCTTCCAAGTAGCTGGGACTACAGGCATGCGCCAACATGCCCGGCTAATTTTATATATATATATTAGTTGGCCAATTAATTTCTTTCTATTTATAGCAGAGACGGGGTCTCGTTCTTGCTCAGGCTGGTTTCGAACTCCTGATCTCGAGCAATACGCCCACCTCAGCCTCCCAGAGTGCTAAAATTACAGGTATGAGCCACCGCGCCCAGCCTGTTTTCTTTTTTGAAAGGATAAGCAACTGTAGTTGCAAGACTGGACCTGGAGGATGGGACTATAAAGCTTTGGCAAGCACACATGGATGAGTGGGGGGTGAAACTTGAGCCTGAGGGAACAGGGAAGCCACTGAAGGTTCAGTCTTAGGGCAGAGCTTTGACATCGGCTGGCTTTGCCACTGCCCATGACCCATGTACCTGAAGGGCCTCCAGCTTCTCCTGCTGTTGGCGAATTTTCTCTGTCAGTTGTTTCTGCTTCTCTTCCTGTGTCTTCAAGTCTTTTTTGAATGTCCCCAGGGGAACCTTCTGCTTCTGTTCAGAAGCCTCACACCTGTAAATAGAAGGTACTAGGGAGCCTTTGGCAAAACAAGGCTCCAAGCAGGGCAGGGACCTTCCTACTCAGCCAACCCATCTGTCTGTCACACAAGCAACCACCTCACATTTCCCAATGCATGGAATTAATATGAAATGCAGACCATCTATTGTATGAACATCTATTCTTATTTCTTGGGCACTTACCATGTACAAGGCAGAGATGTAAGAGCAAGAGCACTGACCTTAAGAAGCAGGGTGTTATGTACTCCAAGAGTAGAGAGGACAGCAGGGGATGGGGGGAGAAGTACACACAATCCCCTTGTTAGAGAACATGCTCACCGGTCCTGCTCAGGATCAGGGTTCATGGAGCAAACCCAAGTGTCAGGGTAATCTTTTTCCACAGAACTCAGCTGGAAGGGGAGGGTCCTCCACTTCAGACACAAATCTACAGAAAACCCAAAAATCCCCATGAAACGTCAGCCACCTCCACCAATAATATCATAATCCAGGCTCTTCACAGGCCCGTGGCTAAGATGCCCCAGAATTTGTATGCAAAGATCTTCACTCTAGCTCCAGCTATGCCTCTCCTCATGAAACAGCAATTCTTCTCAAGGACACTGATTCTAGCAAAGATGAAAACTTAGTATCATGAACTCTTAATGTCTCCAGCCCCTCTCCCCTCCTCTAGCAGGATCCTGGCTCTGTTATCCACTCACACCAGAAACAATACAGTACCAAACTAAGTGAGCCTGGTACAAGCTGCAGCATGAGAGGCCTGGGAGGTTAGATGACCTTCTGCCTCATTCAGGAGGGACAGGTCAAACTTGGAACAACCTCAAGATTAGGCTCACAAGGCCGGGTGCGGTGGCTCACATCTGTAATCCTAGCACTCTGGGAGGCTGGGGGAGGTGGGAGGATCGCTCAAGGTCAGGAGTTCAAAACCAGCCTGAGCATGAGCGAGACCCCGTCCCTACTAAAAATAGAAAGAAATTAATTGGCCAACTAAAAATACATACAAAAAATTAGCCAAGCATGGTGGTGTGTTGCCTGTAGTCCCAGCTACTCAGGAGGATTAGGCAGAAGGATTGCTTGAGCCCAGGAGTTTGAGAGTTTGCCGTGAGCTAGGCTGGATCCCTAGTGGGACCGTAAGTCCATGAATGTCAGGAGGCTGGCACAGAGACAGAGGGTCATGGACTGACAGAAAGCAATCAGGAGAGTTCCAACTATCTGACTCACCACACTGGATAGTGGTCGGGATTTCCATAGCTCTCCGGCGTTTGTAACGCAGCTCACTGGATGGGGGCTGGTTCCAGTTGGCAGAGAGGTAGCCAAACTCATCCCAGAACTTGATGATTCCCCGCTGAGCTAGAAGGCAAGCAACCATACATCAAGTCAGAAGCCAGTCTCTATCTCTTCCTAAGTTTAGGTGAAGAGAAAGGGCAGAGGCCAAGCAGCCCAGCTCCATTACCAATGGCAATGTCCTTCCAGTACTGCGCCAAGTGCTCCCCCATAGCTCTCAGCAGGTGTCGGTACTCCTTGGCATCAGCAAAGTCCTGCTTGTTGTGTGTGGGCTCCAGGACCAGGTAGGGCACATCAACAACCCCAACAACCCCACCACATGCCCTGCAGGGAGAAAGGGAACACATCTCTGTCTACCCACTGGTCAAACCCTCATGCTATCCACCATGAGCTAAAAAGCTCTCCTTGGGTAGTACTCACATGCCCCCTTCCAGCTGTGGGCCCACTTTCTCATACATCTTGATCAGGCGGCTACAGTTGTAGATGAACATGCCATCCAGGTCCCGGTGTTCAATGTTGACCCCAAAAATGAAATTCAGTTCCTTAGGTTCTTTAAGTGCTCTAAAATGATCCAAAAGAAAAAAGAAAAAAAAAAGGCAGATCTACCCATTAGCACATAAACATCAGGGAGTACAAGATGTGTTAAGCTTAAACGTAAGACATGTTAAACAAAAAGATTTGCATGTCCATTTAATCTCCTCTCTTAGACTTGATGGGGATACTCACTGTAAACTGACTCTAAGCATCCCTAAGTAAAAACATAATGACTTTAACTTTTTAGTAACAAAATAGAGATGGACTGAAGTATGAATGAGTTACTGTAAAGCTGTTCCAAAGATAGTTACACAGTGGAATAAATACAAGGTTACCTTCATACCATCCCCAAAACTCCATTAATGTGTGTAAATTAATATATTTTTTTAAAGGCAAAAATTCACAAGAATAATAAAGACTTGAGAGAAGACACCATCATGTGATTAATGTCAACAAACATTTGAAAGCTGAAAAGCAGATGGATGAGCAGTGAACTGACTTAAAAGAAACCTGAAACCCATGCCCATGGCAAGGACAAGAAGAGGCAAAACAGTAATTCAAGCCCCAGAACCCTGAAGGTTCCAGATTCACATAGGTGGGACAAGATAATTTAATAATCCAGTACAAATGCTCATTCTAAATAAAAAAATATACAAAACTCAATCTACAGCATTATTCCATATCTGTAACCAGTGAGGGGAAAATGAATATGAAAACATATTATGGAATCAAAAATTAAGAGTAGTTAGCACCAAGCGATAGAAATATAATGGAGTTTTAAATTTTTATTTCTTAAACGGTTTGTATTTTTCAAGTTTTATACAATGAGCATTTTATAAATTCTTTAAAGGAAAAGAAAGGGGAAAAAAGAAATATAAAGGGAAATAAAGGTGAGACAGTGCCAGTGAGGATAGTTTGGGGTTCAATTCAAGGTGGACACTCTGCCCTGCCTTTTCCTAACTCGGGAAAGAGCTGAGAGCTTAGGGTAAGACCTCTTTCTTGCAAAGGACATTTGACAGCATTTGATGTCACATTAATGGCTTTCTCAAAGCTGTCTTGGTGACAGTATGGCAAACTGTCAATAATCAATACAGAAGCTACACAATCTTAAAAGACCAAAGGACAGCCCTAGCACTCACCGCTGCTTGGCCTCCTTGATCCTCTTCTTGACGTCAGCTTCTCTGCGCAGGGTGATGGCTGTGTTCTGGACCTGTCGCAACATCACCTGGACACATACATCAGCCTCAGGTGAGGGAAGGATGTGCTCTGGGCCACAGCAGGTAATATTACAACATCACATCTAAAACTTCTTTCTTTAACTCAAATGGATGCAAAACTACACGTGGAAATTTACTTCTACAGAAATTGGCCCCTACTGGGGACAAACTCAAAAGTTGTGTTTTACTTGACCAGGTTCACATAACATGGGCTCCTGATGCTGGAGAACAGCCGCCTGGGCCCAGGGCCTTACCCTGGAGTCCCGAGTGAGGTCTCCACCTAGGCGTACTTCTAATGTCCGAGCTTTGCTCTCCGCCTCCCGGGCCTTCTCTTCAGCTGAAACCCAGAAGAAATCATGATGAGGAATACAAAGGTTCAAAACTCTGTCATCCCTTCTGGATCCACAGTGCAGTCCCTGCTGGACAAGAAGTGTGTGCCAGGGGTGGAGAACCTGCAGCTTCAAGGCCACAAGTGGCCCTCCAGATCCCCAAGGTGCCATCGAAGAACAGAAGAGCTGGGGGAGCCATGGCTGACAAGCAATGTCAGGGAAGCCTCTGTGCCTGGACAGCAGAGACCATTCAAGAAGGAAAATCTGGCACTCACACCTATCACAGAGGCCCCAAGGAAAACCTGACATGCTTTTCAAACTTTGCAAATGCATCAGGATAGGTCAAAAAATGCCTAAGGCAATCATAGTTAAATCCTTAGCATGAGCTAGAAGCTAAAGAAGTCTCCAGCCAATCACTACTAGCAAACAAGCAGTAAGAAACTCTTAGAAGCCTGAACACTATGAAAAAACTTGAGATTTTTGCCCAGGAGTCAGGAAAACAATTTCACAAGTATTTGGGCCAGAAGACAGTGTGGGGATTCTTCATTCTGGGCAAGCCACAGAGTTGACACTTTTAGATTAGGCCTTATAAATGGCTAAAGAGAAAGCAGAATTTAGAAAGAAAAAGTACTGAGGGGGCTGGCATATGGGGGAAGGAACTGGACCATGGTTCAGGAGAATAGCCTTGTCCCTGGGTGGTGAACAGAGCCTTTTCCTGTATCTCTGCTTTGGCCACAAGCAGCATCCCCCAGATGAACCCCTCCCCCCACCCTCCTCCTGCACAGGGAGTGGCATTACCAATCCTTGCTACGTGCTCTGCTTTCTTCACCTCCTGCTCTGCACGAGTCTTGAAACGGCTTGACGTGTACTTGTACATCCTAAACAGCAGGAAAAGCAACCTGAGGGCCCAAGCAGCACTGGGGCAGGCAGCCAACCTAAGCCCAGGAAACACCCTGCCTTCCTGCCTCCACCCAAGCTATGCTGGCCTTTCGAAGAAATCCAAGCTTTCTTCGGCAAAAAGATTTAATTCCTTATTTCACTTGTCCCTGGCCTCCTGCAGTCTTTGATAAGCAACTTCACTATTCACCAGGAATGTCATTAATCCCACAGGTAAAACAAACCTCAGCAGTAAGCTAGGGACTTTGCTTTCCTGTGTAGTGTCTAAAAGGCCCCTGAGCCCTGAAGCTGAGACTCAGACAGCTGCTCACTGTGCTAGGCAGGGCCCCCACCCCCCACCCCTTCTCACAGAGAGCTTAGTTTGCCTATCTCCACAGCCTGCCAGCCACCTCTGTCCCTCCCTCAGGTCCCAGAAGTGATTCTGTGATCAGTCACAGGCAGTATTTAAAGGCCCAAATGCAGCCAGCACTATCAGAGCCCCTCATACTGCATACTTCCAACAATACCCCAGAGAAACACGGCTATATCCTTGGCCCATGGGAAACAGCAGTCCAGGTGTACAGGCCCCTACCTGGGCTTATAGAGGCAGCAGGAGAGCCTCTTGGTCTGCACCTTATGTCCATGGATGAAGATCCTCATCCGGGGATCAATATAGAGCACGGCAGCATAGGCACGGAACGAGCGCCGCTCTGGCTTCCTGAAGGCGGCAGAATAGAGAAGTGCTGTCACCCGGCCCACAAGCCTGACCAAGGGCACGCCATCCTCTCTGCAGGCCTACCACCTTTCCCACCTCACATCTCAGCTTCTCTTGCTGCCTTGACAGGGTGTACCCTCAGGTGGCACCACATCCTGCCCTTTCTCACATGCCTAGCAGAGGTGTCCCTTCCCCCACCACCCCAAACACCTGACCTGGCCCTACCACTGCCCTACATGGAACCCTGGGCAATTCCTCTCCCCTCTCTAGGCTTCAGTTTCTTCTTTCAAATCAAGGAGCTGGAGCAGGGGACCGTTAATCTTTTCTGTCAGCTTAATGAGGATCTGCTATCCTTCTATTCATCCCTCTGCCTTGTGTCAAGAAGACATGGAGCTCTCAGCTCCATCAACTCCGACAATGCCACCAAAAGAAATCCAAGGAATGACTTCTCCCCTCTTTCCTTAAAGTCACCTCCTGAGAGAATGAGCTCCAGTTCTAGGGCCCCTCTCCCTTTCCAGTCACACTTACGTGCCCTCTGGGGAAGTCTCTGCCATTTGGATATCTCTTGGATTTGAGATTATGTCTAGTTCTGGCTCTCCATTATCCATGAGTTTGAGATTGAAGATGATCACCAGTGTCCCTGGGGAATAGACATCCTTCTTTCATCCTGCCAGCCAGGCCCGTCCCTGTACCACTCGTGGCTCTAGAGCACCCCTTCTTGGTTCTAGGGACTGCAGGCTCAAAGCCTACTTACCACTGTCCCCGGGAATCTTCATGAACTGGGTCATCACTTCCTCCTCATTGCGAAAGGGAGAGTACTTATAGATGAGTTCTGTCTCAATGGCAAACTTTTCCACATTGTCCGTGACAGGTTCCCGGGTCCGAGCATTCCAGGTAGGCAATGGAACTATCACCTTTACAGTAAGCACAAGCAGACACTTCAGGGAGGACCCAGAAAAGCCTTCACCCAAAACATGCCTCTATCTTGTCCCTTCCCACAGTGGCTCCACAATGCCCCAGAGGTGAGGCCAAGGATCTACAGCCTGGCATCAGAGGCTGTGGCTTCTGTTCCTTCCCAAGACTCAGCCATACATCACTGTTTCCTTCAGGACATGCTAGGGGTCTGTGCATGGGAAGTCCCCTATTTGAGATGTCCTTAGTCATTTTCTTAATTTGGTAAAAATACTCTTACCACTTGGGAAAATATATCTGCAATTATCTAGTGAATTGAAGATATACATAACATAACCTACAACTCAGTAATTCCACTCCTACATATATATCCTAGGATAAACTTTTTTACATATGTACCAGTAAATATCTATAAAAGTAACCCAAATATCCACTCTAGAGTGGCTAAATTAAACTGCACAATGGAATACTATGCAGTGATAAAAATGAACAAGATAATAACTACTAGCATCAACATGGATGAATCTCACAAACACAATGTTACGTGAAACAAGATAGGAAAAAACCCTATGGTATGAGTTCATTTCTATAAAATTCATAAATAGGCAAAACCAAACTATTAATATTATTTAAGGATGCATACATAAGTGACCAACTACAGAGAAAAATAAGGAAATGATCATCACAAAAGTTACCCGAAGGTGGTTCCTTCAGGGGAGCAATGAGGAATATTGTTGGTGAGGGTACAAAGAATGTCTAGCATCAGTCTATGATGGTGGCGACATGGAGGTTGTCTTTATAATTATCCTCTCAACTGTACATGTATTTTAATACACTCTTCCATATACATGGAATTTAATTTTAATAATGTCTAAGGAATGTTTTTTAAAAATCCTACTTTCTTCAAAAACCCAACCTCAGATGCCACTTCCCCTAGAGGCTTCACTGTGCCCCTTCCCCTCCCTGAGCCAGCAGCCCTTGCAGAGACTGCAGAGCTAACTGAATGATTCCCCCTGTAGAGCAAACCAGTCTATGCACCTCAGGGATTCAAACCAGATGGCCCACCTGAGGAAAAAGGGACTCTGTATCTTAAGTGTAAGAGTGATAAACTGTTAAAAGAGTTCTGAGACATTTTGCTGGTTTCTAAGAAGCTTTGTGCTAAAGTATTCAACCCTAGGGCTGGTTTGGACACATTCCTCCTCAACTGAAAGTGATTTTATTTTGAAATCTTGGCTGAGCTCACACTAGAGTACAATCTAAAATAGTGACCTTCTAGCACCAAGTAAGGGAAAAATCTCAACCTAGCCTCTCCAGCAGGGGAATCAAGTTCCATTTGTGTTCTGTGAACCTATACCACCTCTACGCCTCCATTCTTCACTGCACTCCCAGGTGACAATGGCACCACTGTGAACTATGTGCGTTCACTACCAGAGGCACCCTTCCTCCCATTGGAACACTTCTCCTTTAGCTTCAATGACACCACTCACCCAGTGTTCCTCCTACCTTTCTGGCTACCCTTCCATCTCCATTACCACTTTCTCCTCTCCCTATCCTTTAGATGATGGCATACCCCAGGTCCCAGGTCCTCTTCTCACTCTATTCTCTTCTTTTTTTTTTTTTTTTTTTTTTGGGGATTTATAGAGCTTTTTGCCCAGGCTAGAGTGAGTGCCGTGGCGTCAGCCTAGCTCACAGCAACCTCAATCTCCGGGGCTCAGCGATCCTACTGCCTCAGCCTCCCGAGTAGCTGGGACTACAGGCATGCGCCACCATGCCTGGCTAATTTTTTGTACATATATTTTTAGTTGGTCAATTAATTTATTTCTATTTTTGGTAGAGACGGGGTCTCGCTCAGGCTGGTTTCGAACTCTTGACGTTGAGCAATCCGCCCGCCTCGGCCTCCCAAAGTGATAGGATTACAGGCGTGAGCCACCACGCCCGGCCTATTCTCTTCTTTAGGTGACCTCAGTTGCTACCAAGAATGCTGGAGCCCAGACCTTCCGTGAACTATAGACTCAGACTTCACTTTGCACACCCAGAAGAAACTCACACTCTTCCCCAGCTCCGGACAGGGCCACCCTACCCCACCCTAATCCACAGGAGAACCTGTGAGTCATCCATGATCTCTCCCTTCCTCTTTTCCCCCCTCAACTTACCAAACCTGAGGGGTATTACATCCTAAAGGGATGACGACTCCATCTATTCCTCTCATATCCCTACTGCAAGTCCCACCAAGCTACACACAGCTCAGGCCTCTCAGCTGGTCCACTCCAACACTTATCCCCACCCTTTCCAATCCAATCACCATATAATGACCACACAGACCTTTTTAAAAGAAAAATCTGATACTGGCACACCCTTGCTTAAAAAGTCCCACACGCTTAAAAGTCCCACACATTTAAGGCCCTGAGATCAAGCTTAACCTGGCCCTCCCAGCTATCCAGAGACCACCACCTTTCTTCAGGTGGCCCTCCTGCCAACTCCCCTGCCACAGCTTTCAGAGCCTTAAGCAGGCTACTTCTCCTGACTTGAACACCCTCCTCTCACTACTCTTAGTCTTTCATTCATGAGGAAACATTCCTGAAAACTCCAACCTAGGCTCCACTTTCCTGTCCTACCTTCTCCTGGAAGCCTGCTCTTTCCAACTGCAGCACTTCTCTCACTTCAAGTATGCTGAATGAACTAACATACCACACCGAAAAGACAAACAGACAAACCCACTAGCTTGCTAAGTAAAGATGGAAAGAAAAGATAGCCTACTATTCCCAGAGTGAACTATAATCATTTGCTATGATTTAGAATGAGATCTAAAAAGGGCCAGGCCGGGCACGGTGGCTCACGCCCGTAATCCTAGCAATCTGGAAGGCTGAGGTAGGTGGATTGCTCGAGGTCAGGGGTTCGAAACCAGCCTGAGTGAGAGCAAGACCCCATCTCTACTATAAATAGAAAGAAATTAATTGGCCAACTAATATATAGAGAAAAAATTAGCCTGGCATGGTGGCGCATGCCTGTAGGCCCAGCTACTCGGGAGGCTGAGGCAGTAGGATTGCTTGAGTCCAGGAGTTTGAGGTTGCTGTGAGCTAGGCTGACGCCATAGCACTCACTCTAGCCTAGGCAACAAAGTGAGATTCTGTCTCAAAAATAAAATAAAATAAAATAAAAAAATAAAAAAGGCCAGTATAAATTTAATCACAGCTAACAGAAATGAGTTAGATTGAAAGTTTGAATTCAACTATCTACTTACGTGATAGCCATGGATTCCTAAAAAAAGATTTCTTTCTACAAACCTCTTAGCCCTCTATCAAGCCCTAGCCTCCATTTCTCACACATGAGAAGGGGAGGGAAGGTCATGGTCTGAGGCTGAGCAGACCACAGATCTTCCCTGATCCCCCCAACAAGGGGGTCCAAACTTCACTAGAAACACCTCTGCAGATATCTGAGCCATCAGACCACAAAGACAATCAACTGATCATGTTTAGCTTACATGGTTAGTTAATTAACAAAATGTTTTAAAGTCAGAATATTCTGGATTTGTTAAGCCTTCCTTGCAGCATAGCAATGACCCCTGGGGCTGGGTAGCAGCCACTCCCAAAGTGATACCCAGAGCATTAGCTGTCATTTTCCCGTTAGCATGTTCCATATGCTCACCTGGCTTCACAACCTACTCATGCTCTGTAGGTGTCTGATTCATGGGTTCTGACATAAGCAGTTAGAGCAACACATTTCCTCAAAAGGAAAATGCACTCATAGCACATTCCACAAAATCATCATCATCATACAGGAAAAACACAAGGAAGCCCAAAATACTCCCAGAGAAAACAACTCTCCATGGTAACACCCACCCCCCCTCAGATGGAATTCAAACTACAGACCTAGAGGAGCTGCAAATCCAACTCATAAGTCCTGACACTTTATGGTCTCATTCACAGAAACAGGACAGCTGTGTTCTCTAAAGTGCTTTGAGGTTTTGCTTCCACTCACCTTAAGGCAGAGGTCCCCAAACTTTTTAAACAGGGGGCCAGTTCACTGTCCCTCAGACCGTTGGAGGGCCTTTGGAGATTGCAGCACACATTCCACACATGCACACTGTGGGCCTGGGATAAGTCGGCTGCTAAGCAGGACAGGCAGCTGTGGCAAAAACACCTGGTGGGCAGGATGTGGCCCACAGGCCGTAGTTTGAGGACGTCTGCCTTAAGGTGTCTGCCATAACTCCTCAACCAATTCTTCCAACCAGCTAATAATAGGGGGAATGTGCTCCAAGCCTGCAGCCCCAAAAAGCCCAGCATTGCAAACAGCCTGGGCAGAACCAGGAAATGTAGAGTGGTAATTCAGACCATGGTGGTGGGACCTACTTCATCGATGCCTTCTTCCTCATGAAAGGTACGAGACAGGAAGAGGCAAGTCATGGTGTCTTCCTTCTTGGTGAAGAGGATAAAATCCTTCCCAATGCGCATTGAGCCCCTGAAAGGGAAGCAGAAACAGATTATTCTCCGAGGGATTCCAAAGCTTATCTGAAAAAGCACAGTAACTCCACTCTCTGTAAGTGATTGAAAACGCCTTTGGAGAACCCTCCTAAGGGTTCCAGGACTCTGCCCTGAGATCCACAGCCCTTGTTCCTTCTCTCTACCCTTCTGATGCTCCTTGCTCTGCTTTTCCACTGGCCTGTTAATTCCTTAGTCTTTAGCTACTACCTTCTTGATCACACATACAGGGCTCTCTCACTGTCCCTCTAGGGCATGTTCACTGCCAACCACCAGCCTCAGGTTAGTCTCACTACAAGCCTGTTGCCAACAACGTTAACAAGTAACCCAGCTGTCTTCGAGCTCCAGGTTCATCCCAGCCACAAGAGAGTTGCTGTGCCCTCTGACTGTGCCACTATCAAACTTCTCTTCAGTGGCTGGAACCTTTAACATGTCATCTTCCATGCTGACCACACCCAGTTCCCATCCTGTCCACCCATCAAATAGCAGTACCATCAAACAAACAGCCCAGTGCCTACACTCACAAGTCATCAAAAAAACAGTATGAACCCAAGGTTCAGCAAAACATTAGGGGTAACAAAATAGAATTCTTGACCACAGTATTCAAGGAGGCCTGTAATCAGCTCATGTCCAATAACTATAGCCATCTTGTCTCAGAGTTGTTTTACCATCTCAAGCTCATTATGACACAGGCGGGTCCCTGCTTTTGGATACCTCAGGTTTCTGGAAACTGTGTCTTGAGGCTAACTTCCACAAGGCAAAACTCTGAATGGAATCAACTGCTTCCTTATTCTGTTTGGCCACATTAAACCAACTAAGAAACAGGCAGGGACAGGCCTCTCCAGGCAGCACAGAGAAGGGCAGAAGCATGAAGCACCAGTGGGAGGACTGCCCAATGAACAATGGGGCTGTTTAGCTCCTTTCTTTTGAGCAGCTTCTGGGGCTTTATGGCTATTATCTCATTAGTTTTCATAACGCCCCAGGGAGATGATGGAGGTGGGAAGTTTCATTACTCTTTTCTATGTACAAATACAAACCAGATTGGCATGCCAAGCATACAAATGAATGTCATGCCCCATTTCCCCAAACACTCAGGAAGCTCCCAGGACACTATCCAGAAATGCCCTGGGGACTGCCAAGGCCTGTTTCTCCTCCCCCAGTACCCAAAATGCTGGCAATGCTCCCTCCTCTGACAATTTCCCTGAAGTCTACGGGTGGCAAAATGAGGCATATTATCTCACCTTCTGTCAAAGCTTGCCCCTTGCCCTAATTTGGCAAAAACTCACTTTGTTCCTCTGTCTTCCTTCTGTCCTTTATCCTGACATTAGAGCCAGAATAGCAAGAACCCCAAACATCACCTTCTCTCTGCTGGCTTTCCTGCTTCTCAGCCCTACTCTCACCACAACTCTGAAGTCTTTTTTAACTTCTGAATTGGTTCCAAAATTGGTTCAGAGTAACTCTGAACACTAGATGGCTCCATCTCAATGCAACCTTCCCAAAAGTCTTCTAGTAATATGCTAATGACAACACTTTCAACTTCTGCACACTTTCCTTCCCAGTCTTCTAAGCACTTTCAGAGTCACATTTCATTTGCTCCTGAACCCCATTCTGTAAGGGAGAATGTCAGCAATTAGAACTCCATTTTCTAAATTAAGGAACAGAGGTGAAATGGTTTGCCTAAGGCCACAGAACTGATAGAACCAAGGAGGAGGCAGCCAACCTACAATCCAGATAGTAAGTCAGAGTTTCCACTGACTCTAGGAGACCTCGGTTATTGGTAACTTACCTTAGATCATCATCAAAATAACCCCAGGTTATTTATCTGTGATTAGAGGTGATTCATCTCATCTGTGAAAAAACAGATTCCTTGGCCCTACCCAGACCCACTGAATTAGGGCAGCAATCTGCCATGGAAAGATCTAAGGAGAAATAAAATAAGAATCCAGAAGCCAGGCTCTCACAGCAATGATACCATGTAATCTTTAACCCACTTGGTATGAATTATAATCTCAATCTACAGAGGAAGCTGAGCCTCAGAAGTAATTAAGTGGGTGAGGCAAGATTTGAACTTCAGCTTGTCTGACTGTAGTAAAATGGACAGCAGCTCCATTTTGCAGTTAGAAGGACCTAGTTCATATCCTACCTCTACATGTAGGCATCTTTACAACTTTGGGCCAAGTCACTTTACCCCATAAACTTCAATTTCTTCATCTGAAAATGAGAATAGTACCAACAATACCTCGTCGGGCTCTAGAGAAGATTAAACAAGATCATCTATGTAAAGATGTTAGCACAGTGCCTAGCACATGGTAAGTGCTCATTATTACCATTAGGTTGCCACCCTCAGACACAAATCACGAAGTCCAGGTATCCGGTCCCTGATTTCTTTGGAAGCACTCTCTTCTCCACACATGCAAAGCACACTGCACGTGACACCCAACTGATACTGTTGACTGATCAAAACCACCACCCTCTCTCAAACAAAACATTTCCACAGCAAGACTGGAAATGTAACTCATAATTCCATTTGCACAAACTCCAATTCCACTAAATCTTATTCCATCCAAAGGTATGTACAGCTGGAAGTGAGCATTTCAGAAATAGAAATCTTTCTCTTGGGGCTTCAGAAAACCAGAACACCACATTCCAAACACTAAACAAGTGGGAACCAAGGGCTAAGAAAAGAAGTCTCAAGGGATTTGAAGACATTAGGTAGGCTCCTACTATAGGGCCTTGTAGGACATGTGCGTGGAGACAAGAGTCAGCTGGGATGGATGGCTCACATCTCTCTTACCCTGGATCCCCAGTGCCTGGCACAAAGGGTGATGTATAGCAGGTGCTTAAGGACACTGCTGCACTGTGAAGTGACTCACCATCTCCCCACAAGAGTACCACTCACATTCTCAATTACAGGATAAAAATAAGAATTTTCAACAGGAGAGGGGCAATGCCTAGAGCACAATGCCAAGAGAAACCTATAGCCTCACCAGCTCTAATTAGTTTTGGACGTTCATACTTTTCAATCTGTGGAGCAAATTCAGCTGGACAACAGTTGGTAAGCTACCCCCAAAGCACCACTGCTTTCTGACTTTCCTCCTCTTCCAGAGTTACAGTCATGGAGGGATAAGGTAGGAAGCATAGCTTGATTTTGTTTTGAGCCCTGTGGCAGGCTTCTAGTATACCTACGATTTTAACCCATTCCCGTACTGCCCAATCTGGGTGGACTCAGGTGTTCGCTTGGCCGACTTCCCAAACTGGATCACACTGGCAGCATCACCTAAAGTGGCAGACACAAGAGAAAGTGAAAAGTTTACATTTCTTTCCCAGGCTCCTCAAAGTCAATGGCCTGAGCCTTATTAAATTCAAGCAGGGCTGTGTGTCTACTGAAAATCTCTCTCCAAGGAAGTTCACAGCCATGAGGCAAATGGAGGCAAGCTTTAACTGGCCTGTCAGTACCTCCCTCACTGTGACCTGTGTTCTGTTACTAAAATTTGGTAAAAAGGCTGGGGGAGGCCTCTGTAGTTCTGACTCCAGGATGTTGTGCAAGCTGATAAATACAATGTCAAGAGAGAGGTAATCTGACTGACTTCAGGTTGCCATTCAGGTCTTGTCCCATGTTAGGACAAGACCCAGCAAATACATTAGTGGAATTAAGCTCGAGATGTTGCAACAGGCTTCTCACTCTCCAGGTAGATCTTCTAGTTACAACATTGAGGCAACAGAAAAACAAGTTCACATAATCAGTATTTTATAAAAATGGTTACATCCTCCCCTGAAGAAACATAATCATCTCATCACTTACTTGGATCCATTCCTGCTCCATCATCCAAAAAGCAAAGCATAAACCCTCCTCGAAGGTCCTCTCGCCTTTCTGTAAAAGAAGCACCTGCCATTAGTAGGTTGTTATTCACCAGAGGGTGGCAACCTGGGTATTATCAGAAGGTAGAACACCACAAACCTTGGTCCAAAGAGGTCAGGTCAAACCTAGATTTCTAGGCTAGTATGAATTAAACTTCAGGGTCCTTGAGGATGTAAATTCTCATCAAAGGTTCTCTAATGCTTTCTAGTTCATGACAAAGTTTGAGAGAATCTATAAGGAGGGCAGGGAATACCTGATCTGGCATCTAACCACATCTAAGACCAATGAATACATTTCACACATATCATCATCCTTCTGCCTCTCTCCACCTGGATTACTATCACTTCAGCCCTATGCTATGGACCCCAAGCCACTAAAATACTCCACCTATTACACACTGTACACTAAACACTGTTCAAACTCCACAGGGTACTTCCTTTGTAAGTCAAGTCTGGGGTAGCCTTCAGACAAACTGATCAAGCCAGACATGGCATGGGCATAGTGGTGGCAGCTGCTATCTAAAGGATGAATTACTATGTCTATATATGACTGTTTGCAAGCTAACTGCCATTTCTGGGCTATCTGTATACATCATCACAACCCCTGCTAGTTACGGGTCTTTGAAAAGGCTCCCAAGCCCAGAAGTGAGAAGGCACAAGGAATGGTGAGACATGCCTGGTTTTCAGCTGGACCTGCCTGACTAGAAGGAAGAATAGTCCTTTGAAAATAAGATATACAACAGCCTTGGCAGAGCTTTCTGGACAACAGGAAAGGAACACAACAGACTGTGGCTGCCATTCCTGTGAATGGAAGAATCTCTTCTTTCAGCAGCTGTCTTCTACAGCAGCAAGTGACAACTCAAAGTAGTCCAGGTCCAAGCATGTCTTCGACAATGGAGAAGCAATTCCCAAATAGCTTTACTAGTCCCCAAGGTGCCATGTGTCCCAAGGAAGACTAGGTGGCCAAAGGAGGAACTAGCCTTAGAATCAGGGGAACATAGACACAGAGAAGGATGTGAGGCACAGGTGTAGGTAGGGGACCCACATAAGCCACAAAAGGAACACCAATCTCCCAGTATAGATGCTGCTTGGCAAGGAATAAAGATAGTACTTCTAAAACAAAGGATATCTGTGTAAAGTACTATAGGGACAAGTCCAAGGCTGCTCTAGAGCCTGATCCCTGAGGTTTTTCTAAATCTCCCCCAAGTGGCAGTTCAATAACTTTCTACAACTATCTAAGCTGATAAATCTCAGTTTAAAATGTTCTTTGTCCTCCCCTCAGGCTAAAAATTCAAGTGAGTCATAACTTCCCTGTGTTAAATAGACCAGTTAATGTAATTTAAAATGCTATTTCAGCAGGGCTATAAACCATAGAGATTTTCAAGCATCACTCAGCGTTCAGGAAACTGAACATTAATACAAGCACTTCTTGAAAGTTCAATAAAGTTTTTGGAAGATAGAAAATTTCTCTTTGTGGCAGTGCCTCTTATCAGAGTCTTGGGAATCCAAATGAGATACGGCAAGCAAGAGCAAGTACAAGAAAAGTGCAAAAAGGCTTCAAAGTTTCCATCTGGAGGAAGCAAAACGTCATATGGAGACTCAAACTGGGTTAGGTATAGACTATAGAGCATCGTAAACTCAAGTGTTCTAAATCTAGCCAAGAGCCATTTACTGTACATTACAGCCATAAGATTTTCATGAAGACTCTGCTTAGGGATCTAGAAACTGATTCAAGCCAAGCACATCAGAAAAGTCCCCCAAGGATCACTGGCATTCTTTGAACACTACCTACAAAGTTACTTTCTAGCCCTTGTGTTAGGACAAAACTCTTAGGCTGTTTTAACACATAATCATCATTTAACAATAGGTCTGGGATCCCTCCCTGGCTCAAGGACTTCATTTCAAAGCTTTTTCATGTAGTTTACAAGGGTACAAGACCTACATTGGGAGGATTCTCCTGGCCACATAGTGGCCAACAGCCTATAAGTGGCTATTAGTGTCCAGATCCATAGTCTCATACAATACTGCCACAGGGCCAAGAAAGACTCAATACAGCAGTAATTCTTCAACTTCGAAAACAGATATGGTATGATGTCTTCACCTGTCTATATCAATCACTTGTTTATTCAATAACTATTTTAATATTTACTGAGCACCTCCTATGTGTCTGATTCTATGATGAGGACAAGAGCAGCGAACATGCAGATGTGATCATGTCTTCACAGAGCTTAGAGTCTAATGGATTCTACTCTCTGCAGTAGATGAAGTACAAAGTAAAGGACCAGGAGAGTTTAACCCAAAGGAGACTATAAAAGTCTAGCAAACATATTGTGCATAAAGAATCACCCAAGTAGTTTGTGAAAATGTAATAGATACTGGGCTCCACCCTGGATAGTATGATTGTGTAGGTCTGAGGTGGGGGCCTGAGAATTTACATTTCTAACAAGCTCCCAGGTGATACTACACTGTCTGTGGGTGAACCACCGACAAGTGATGAGCTGGAGAAAGCAAGAACTAGAAGGCTTCCTTGCTCAAAACTATCTCCCAGACATTGCACCGCAGAGATTCATCCCTAACACCTGATATTTACTTTAATCAATGAACTGAGTGATATCTGAAGCCTCCAAAGAACTGGCATGAAGGACGGGGAATTCTGGACACAGGAGAGCCTAAGCAGCTGAAGGTTATGTGTTTCCCCTCCCATCACACTTCTTGGAAGCAAGACAGGGAAGACAAAGGCAAACTGCTTTCTTTGCAGCTGTGCTTCAGATCCTGGTAACAGCTACACAAGAGTGTTAGAACCAGTCTGAAAGGTCCGCATCTCCCAATATGGCCAAGTCTGGCTTGTCCAAGCCTGACATCCCTCATCCAGCTCCCACTGAAAATAGAAAAAAGAAAGAAGCAGGAGAAGAGATCTCAAATGAAGCTATAAGTAAAAAGTCAGAAGTGATATCAGAGGTGATAAATTAATGGTGTCCTTGTAAAAAAATGACATCCAAGTTCCTCAGCATCTTCTGCAATCTGTTTGAGCAGTATTAATTTCAGTTTCATTTGCTCTAATTTTCCATTTATTAGCCATTTCCCTGCCATCAAAAAGGATCTTTCTTTGAGGAGGTAGCACTACCTATCGCAGGAAGTGAAGAATGTCAATACATAAACACACAGACTTCTCAGAAGCTAGTCCATGCTACTCAAAATATTACCTCAAACCTTTCAGATTTCAGAAAAGTCTCTCAGAAAAACATAGCACACTAGCTAAATTGTATTTAAAAGCCATCTTCCATTCTAGTTTTGACAGGTATATTATGGTCCAGCCCCAACTAATAGAATGCTCTGAGTAAATGAACACCCCTACACTTTGAGAACCTGGCTTCTTTCTCACCCTTCTTGGTTAAATATAGTCTTCAAAATGTAACTTTGTGGTTACTTCAAACTACATCTGATGTTTAGGAATATTTAGAAGTTCAGCATCAATCTAGTTTCAGAATTGGAGATAAAGAAAATGCCTTCCTCCAGGTACTAAAACAATAACTTTATATTATTATTATTACTGATTCCATTGCTTTTATTCCTCCTGTTGAATGTGTTAATAAAGCCCTAAAGTAGAAAAGCGTGAGGCTAAAGGTGCCTCAGCCAAGACTTCCAATTTCAAAGTACTTAGAGTACATCAAGTCTTTTTCCAAAATGCCACAGTGCTTAGAGTTTCTATCATTCCATTAAATCCTTAATTGTCTCAACTATTCCCTTAAGATCTAGTTATTGGGCCGGGCGTGGTGGCTCATGCCTGTAATCCTAGCACTCTGGGAGGCCGAGGCGGGCAGATTGCTCCAGGTCAGTAGTTTGAAACCAGCTTGAGCAAGAACAAGACCCCGTCTCTACTATAAAGAGAAAGAAATTAACTGGCCAACTAATATATACAGAAAAAATTAGTCCGGCATGGTGGCGCATGCCCGTAGTCCCAGCTACTCAGGAGGCTGAAGCAGAAGGCTCGCTTGAGCCCAGGAGTTTGAGGTTGCTGTGAGGTAGGCTGACGCCATGGCACTCACTCTAGCCTGAGCAACAAAGTGAGACTCTGTCTCAAAAAAAAAAAAAAAAAAATCGATCTAGTTATTGTTCTTTAATTCTCTACAGTGTGCTAATGGTCTCTCCAATTAGAGACTTAGTTCTTAAAGCAAAGACCCCATCTCATCCATTCTAGACTTTTCCCAAAGCACGAAAAAAGTAGCAATGAGCATAAAATAAAGGCGCACTGGGTCTTTTTCATTTGAATTGAAATCCAAGTGTTCTGCTGTATTCTGAATGTTAAAAACTAAATTTCCTTTACAAAACTGCCAAAGGTGATATGACCAAAGAACAGAAATGACCTTTCTTAAAAATTTCTTCCAAATACACTCAGCTATTATGACTTGTCCCTTCAACATCACTTGGAGTAAAAGTCCATTCTCTGCTTTATCATCTTTACAATGATTAAAACGCCACAATTTCTTTCCCAGGTAGCTGTTACCACTCCTCACAAAAGCACACTCAGACATAAGATGCATGCTGTGGCTTGGAAAGCACCTCCATCTGGCCTGGCAGTTGAGTAACCATCTTCTAACATTTTTCTGCTGCACACCCTTTTTCCTGTTACTTTCTTCTAAAAATAAAAGGAGCCTTGTTTTCACCACATTGGCAGAGCCTTCTGAACAAACAGCTTTCAGAATTGAAGCAGTATAGCTGACTTTTAGCTCAAGATTTTCTTTGCTCCAAAGTATATGAAGCATGAGAAATTCATCATAACTGGTGGAGATTCTTCATAATTATATGACATTGGAGGTTCTGAGAATTACTATTTAGTTGTATACTTCCTTTTTATCAAATAGATCCATGAATAGGAGTTATTTGATAACTGTATATTACTACATAAACACACAGACTTCTCAGAAGCTAGTCCATGCTACCCAAAATATTACCTCAAACCTTTCAGATTTCAGAAAAGTCTGTCAGAAAAACATAGCACACTAGCTAAATTGTATTTAAAAGCCGTCTTCCAAATTTTTGGTATTCCAATGACCAAAAAAGGTGCTAATATAAGGCAGAAACTAAACTATTAAAAAATTAATAAAAGGCCTATAATGATTACTGTTGCACCCACTCTAAAAAAAAAAAATCTTACTATAAAACAGCAGAGCCAATCAAAGGCTGATAGGTTTAAATTGCAAGCCAGCAACTTTCCTTCCCACCTGACATCTCTGTCTGAGAACATCTCTGTAAACCTGAGCTGACCCAGTTACCAGCTTTTTCTCCAACTGACACCAGCAACTCTCCAAGTTGGGACTGGTAACCACCATGGGTGCAGAGGGAGAAATATGGCCTCAAACAAGCTCTCTCCTAGGCTGTAGGTACCACACACCTGGTTCACCTGCTAACTTCAACCAGTAAAAAGACCAGTACTTGGTCATTTGACTCCCTACTACTTTACCCTATCACACTCATAAATCTCCTATGGCTATTTGGATATCCCATGTTAGTTTCTCGAAACCAACATACTTGGTTTCTATGCCTGGCCAGGGCTAACCATACCTAACTAGTGCTGCCCTGTTTCTACCTATGACCTAGAGTAATAGTGCTATCTCCCCAGGCTCCAGAAACCACTCATTTTTTCTTAAACACAGTAATGAAAATATTAAGATGAACTAGGCATTAAAAGAAAGGACTAAAGTCTGAGTTACCTGCATAAATATCTATTCTGGTGGCATCAGCATCTCTGCAAAATTAAAAGAAAAAAAATCAAGATCCAAATGAGAATATGAAATATCAACTATCTATATGCATATTATTTTGAGTGAAATGCATAGTATTGAGTTTGTTTTCAGGAAACTATACAGAAATTCTACATATATTAAAGCTGTACTTTTACACTTGGCAACACAATTTTCTTTATATATCTGTAAAACATTTCTGAAGCCCCAAATTAAGATAATCACATGACACTTAGGACCTGGATATTTTTTTTAATGTTAATTTCATGGTGAAAATATCTACAGGATAAACAAGAACATTTCCCTTTACCCACAAAGAAATGACTCAAATATTTGTTTCTCTCACTCATTTGACTGCAATCATAAAAAAAGTTGCAGTAACTTGTCCATTTTTTTCTTCACACCACGATTTTAAGAAAAAAAATAGTAATCTGCCACAAAACATGTTGAAAAACCAAGTCTTGTGGTATTTACACTGTAGTCAGCAGACTGGCTCCTAAGCCCATAATCTTATCCTCCCTAACCTTGAAAGAAGTTGGGGTTCCCCATTAGACTCTAGCCGTTGGCTGAAATCATAGAGACTCAGTCATCAATGAAATTTCTATAAAGGCTTGGAATTAATTTAGTCCAATTCTATCAACTGCAGGCAAGGAAAATGAAACAGTTTCACTGCATTAAATGCAAAAACTTCTCAAAATCCACACAGCTGTACAAGTACCTATTCTCAAAGATACAAAAACATTTTCAAGTATGAGAGATTGGCAAAATATATGTATGAGTCAGAACACACACTCCCAGGAATCTCTAGTTCACCATATGATACACAAAAAAGCAGCCTGCCACCATACACCTGGTCTAAGTTACTAACAAGTGGCAAATTCACAAAGTTCCCATTGAACTACAATATATTTTAATTGAATGCAAAAATTATGAGGCAACCAGGATTGAAATAAAATGGGAGTTTTCTGGTTAAACAACTCCACTAGCATACTCGCCTGAACAGTCCAGTTAATAGTAACAACAAATGTAATAACAGAATAGATTTATTGTATAGAGATGGGTAAATGTAAGAAATTATCAACAAGCTCGTTAATCAGGGATCTGGTTAGAAGAACTTGCATGTCAACTCCTACCCTCTTCTTCCTTCATTAGTCATCGACACCCGGTCAATAAAGGACAGGTCTGAATTTTATGTTTGCATTCAGGAATAAGAAGGGGACAATATTTTCATAATATAATTATAAACAGAATCTTGACTTGGATCTTTGTCTGGGAACCAACCCAAACTTCTATTCAGTCTTACACAGTAACATTTATATGATTCGATCAGTAAGAACTCAGTATAAGACCACACTGACAAGTGATTTCTAACAAACACAGCTGCTGAAAATGGAAGACACTTATTTGAATGTATTGATGTATTATAAAAACAAACAAATTTTTAAAATGGAAGACATTTTGATCATTTGAAGTCATCTGACAATAAAATTAATATTTTGAGAAGACACAGAACTCTGGCATAGTTCTAAAAATATTAAACAGTATACTGTCCTGGTATCACAAGTTAAATCAGAGCTTATCTGTCCCATTAATTTGATTCCTAAAATTCTGTCTTAATTCCCTACAATTATCTTGCACTAATACACAAGGGAAGTGGTTTGGGAGGGGATAAATTCACCATTTTTAGGCTAGAACACAAACAACAATGAATGAATTTCAGTTAATCAAATAAAGTGGAAGTATCAACTAATGTGTTATCAAAAAGACTTTTTCAATAAGAGGCCTCTGAGGAGTTGCAGCTGCTACAGAAATGTCTTCCTCTGGAGTCTTCAGAGAACAAAGGTCACCACTACCAAAAATGTTTCCACTCCAAGCACAGAATGTGTGCCTAAACACTACATACCTGGCATTATCAACGAGTTCAGCAAGAGCACCAAATAAGAATTCATGAGTGGTTCTGAAACGATAAATAAGAGTCAGCAAAAGAATTATGAATTGAAGTATAACTCCTAATAAAGTCATAAAGAATTTAGAAGTTTTGGCCGGGCACAGTGGCTCACGCCTGTAATCCTAGCACTCTGGGAGGCCGAGGTGGGAGAATCGCTCAAGGTCAGGAGTTCGAAACCAGCCTGAGCAAGAGTGAGACACCCATCTCTACTAAAAATAGAAATTAATTGGCAAACTAAAAATATATAGAAAAAATTAGCCGGGCATGGTGGCACATGCCTGTAGTCCCAGCTACTCAGGAGGCTGAGGCAGAAGGATTGCTTGAGACCAGGAGTGTGAGGTTGCTGTGAGCTAGGCTGACACCACAGCACTCTAACCCAGGCAACAGAGTGAGACTTTGTCTCAAAAAAAAAGGCAGTATTTTTCACAATTCATATTCTGCCTATAAAAATGCCTGTGATTTACTTTTCATTGCCTTAACCAGTGGTCAATTTCTGTACATCTCGGAGGAATAATTGTAGGATGCATTTCATAAATAAATACCATCTTTATCAAGTTTTGAATAACATGGTGACTGTGTATTTACCCAACCCAAACTTCGAGCAACCTCCCAGAGGAGATGACCATCACTGGCTCCCCTCCTCAAAGGGGTTAACTTTAACACAAGCCCTAAGAAACCACACGAAGCTCTTGTGCTCCCAGAAGGAATTGTTCAAGACAGTCTTGGAGTCCTCTCTTTAATGTAGAGGAAATTTCTGTTTTTAGGCAAAATGTGAGAAAGTCAAGAAATGGGTTATTCTCTCCTTTCTCTCCCTCTTTTGAATGAATTATTTTTGCTTATAAATTGCACAACAGTGTTTGAATTTCCTTTTTTCACTGATAGATCACACACAGGTACCGGTAAAGCAAAAGGCTAACAAGTTATCCATTGAGCATGCTCCATTTACACTCTCTGTATTTTCCATAATAGTCCACATTACCAAAAAAACAAAAACAAAAACTAGCTTGATTTTTCTTTTTCCTTTTTTTTTTTGAGACAGGGTCTCACTCTGTTGCCCAGGCTGGAGTACAGCTGCAGGATCATAGCTCACTGCAACCTCAAATTCCTGGGCTCAAGCAATCCTCTTGCCTCAGCCTCCTGAGTAGCTGAGACTACAGGTGTAAGCCACCACACCTAACATTTTCTATTTTTGGTAGAGACAAGATCTCTGTTGCTCAGTCTTAAACTCCTGACCTCAAGTGATCCTCCCATCTCAGCCTCCCAGAGTGCTAGGATTACAGGCGTGAGCAACCACGCCCAGCCAGCTTGACTTTTGAGTAAATACAAAATCATTAACCCATCAATGTTTCAAAAATATCCAATTTATAACTGATTTTTGAATAAAAAGTTCAACCAATAACCAAACTGAAAAATTTTAAATGAAACATATCAATATTAAATAACCAGCATCCAGGGATCTCTGATCACTTACCATATTGTTTTAAACAAATTGTAAAAGATTTGTTTATAAAATAAATACAACTGAACTGTCCTGGAACACTGGTTTTTCCTCCTCAAGTTAACTCGTCAAATTTTTACAAATGCAAATTTTGAATTAAATAAAACTACCAGTTCTTAGAATTGTAGGAAGAACTTTTCCCCATAAGATCAGTGAATGTATCTGTTGCTAATCCAAAAGCATTCTTATATACAACCAATAAATATATTGTAACAAAAAGAAATTTTTATCATCAATTCATCTAGAAACAAAACTCAAATTCTTCTGGCTAAAATCCAATTAATTATTTTACATGGAAGAGTCAAATTTTTACATAAAATAGCCATATCTTTAATTAATAAAAATATTTAAGTCTCTAGGATTATCACTTTAAATTCTTCAAATTATCACTTGAATAAACAAAAATGTATTCTGTAAATTACTCCACTAAAGAAATAGGGGGAAGTAAACTAGAAAAATAAATTGACTTGTTGAAGGTAATGTAGGTTAGTTAAAAGCAAATCTGACATTTGTTCTCAAGCTTTCAACCAGTCATTTTCCTGACTTACAGGTGACTTAGAAACTTACAAAGTGAATTAGTTTTCTATACTCTAAAATTTTTTTAACTTGGAGGATTGTTATATAGTAATATTAAAATAACTAATTTTATTACAATACTTCTCATTTCAACATGAATTTGTACTTTAATGTACATCAAGGAAAATCAGACATACAGCTCCTAGGGAAAAAACAAGAGCACAACTTTAAGAATAAGACCATAACTTGCATCAGAATGCACTAACTTACCAAGAAGAGGAAGCCCTGAAAAAAAAAAATAAAAAAAAAAAAAAAAAGAATGCACTAACTTCAGAATAAGTAAGTTTCTGGTCTTTGGTAGTGAGAATAGTGAATCTGAGTAAGCTGGAAAACTAATTCTGATGCCCTTTGCTTTTTTCTTGTATGAGGAAACCAAAAATAGAAATAGCAACTGCTTCTCAGCAATACATATTTCTGATTGCTCCACATGAAAATGAGACATAAGAAGTCAATAAGCAGATCTCAAAAGGGCAAGCACAGAGCACCTCTGGCTAAGTTTTCATTGCTTTCTATACGATGTTTAGAAATGTGTCTTATACATTTAGAATCTAAAAAAAAAAATTCCAAATGGTATTCATTGTTCCACACAGTATCAATGCTGTTCCACACATATTATATTTCAGCTAACAGATAACTTTAAAATGTAGTTAATGGGTACTTTTGTGATGGCAGTACACATCACAATAGGGGCCTTTTGTGACTACTGTTGCTAAGGTCAGAGACAATATTTGGAATCTTCTCCAAACCTCCAACTGATTGATGGATCTTCCAGATACTAGAAAGTCAGGGTTCTAAACACTTCTTAAAATTATAAGAATCAAAAACATACCAATTGTGTAAGTTCTCTTTTTTCCCAAATAATATTCCAAGAAGTGTATTTATTGCTAGCTAGCATTTGAGACAGAATAGATAAAAATCAAAAGAATTTTTTTCTTTAAGACCTAAAGATTCTTTGCCTGTGATCCAAGAAAGATCTACCATATGGGAAAAGGTTTGGGTTTTTTTTTTTTTTTTTTTTTTTTGAGACAGTCTTGCTCTGTTGCCCAAGCTAGAGTGCCATGGATCAGGCTATCTAACAGCAACCACAAACTCCTGGGTTCAAGCAATCCACTTGCCTCAGCTTTTCTAGTAGCTGGGACTACAGGCAAGTACCACTATGACCGGCTATTTTTTCCATTTTTAGTAGTTCCAAGCTAATTATTTCTGTTTTTAGTAGAGACAGGTCTCACTCTTGCCCAGGCTGGTCTTGAACTCCTGAGCTCTGACGATCCTCCCACCTTGGCCTCCCAGAGTGCTAGCATTACAGGTGTGAGCCACCGCACCTGGCCAAAGACAAAGATTTTTAACAAACCCGTCCACTTTCAACAGTTTGTAGCTTTTATACCACAGTGCCACACCAGAAATGGTTTTTCAGCTCAGCATTTCCAGCAACAAATTCACGTGTAAATTAGCTTGTTATGTGAGGGAAATGGTCTTCCTATTTATATTCAGCCCAATTGAAACCAATAGATTATCCACAAGCCCATCATATAGTGATAGCTTCTTTTGAGTTCCTGGATATATTGACAATAGTTAATTACTTTAATTGCTAGAAAATAACGCTGAGAAATTCTGGAGCAACCATTTATATTCAAATGGATTTAATACATTTAGTGTGTGAACCTACATTTCAACAGGCTTAAAAGTCTTGTGTCGGAGTTAACAGGTTCCTCTACATTCACTTCACATACAGATAAAACAACCCCAAAATACCATATGGCCAAGACAGTAAGTTATTAAAGGTGCCAAAAAGAACAGGCATAAACAGTAGGCATCTCATACTAAACATCCTGCTCTATCAGACCAATTAGCAGTGAAGTGACTTAAGATATGCATCTTATGCTAAAGGAATATCACCACCACTATTGCATCTGGAATACCAGTCACAAAACCCATCAGCAAAGAGAATTAACAGCATAAAACTCCTTTTATTTAAAAACCCTAATTTTTATCATCTCATACTAACAACCAGTATTAAAAGAAATTTGTTTAGGACTCTTAGGTTACCATGAGAATTTCCCAGGACTGTTTTAAGCCTCAACACTGATAATCAAGAGAATAACCATCAATAGTTACCACAAACCACATACAAAAGTAGTTCAGTACAGATGTTCACTGACTCCAACAGATGTTCCAGAACTCACTAACAATTTATCTGCCTGACCACTAGCACCAAACATCAAGTTGCCACACACTGACCAACTTTGATTTACATAAACTAATATCACAAAAAGAACAATCACCACCTACATGTTTACTGTATACCATGTATGAGCTAAGAACTTTATAAACACTATTTTACGTAATTCTCATACACGCTTTCAGATTAGTCCCATTTTACAGACGAAGAAACTTGAGGATCAAGAAGCTGACCAGCCCAAGGGCACAGAGAGGAAATAGTCAAACACAGGTTTGGCTGGCTCCCAAGCACAGTCTTTTCACTTCACCACACAGATTTCCAACTTTCTAGTCTGGGTTCTGCTTGTAAGTCTATATTAAATGAGAGGTAAACAAGGGCCATTTCTTTCATAATTCAAAATATGGCAAGATTGTAGCTACCAGACACTCTACAATGGTCTTGTGTTTTAAAAATTTTAACAGAACAAAGGAGAAGGTACTATAAGACAACTCCTACCTTCTCTGAAGGTGACTTACTGAACCATGTAACACAGAGATGGTTCATTTTCCATCACTGTATGTTACAAGTCACATGTGAAAATTTAAAAATGTTTTCTCTAAAACTGAACTTCTAATCAGGTCACCACGATAAAGAAATCTCTTAAAATTAGTTACAAGCGGCCGGGCGCGGTGGCTCACACCTGTAATCCTAGCACTCTGGGAGGCCGAGGCAAGTGGATCGCTCAATGTCAGGAGTTCGAAACCAGCCTGAGCAAGAGCAAAACCCCCATCTCTACTATAAAATAGAAAGAAATTAATTGGCCATTGCTATAGAATATGAAGTAAAAAATTTAAAAAATAATAAAAAAAAGAAATTAATTGACCAACTAATATATATAGAAAAAAAAATTAGCCGGGCATGGTGGCACATGCCTGTAGCCCTAGCTACTTGGGAGGCTGAGGCAGTAGGATTGCTTGAGTCCAGGAGTTTGAGGTTGCTGTGAGCGAGCCATGGCACTCACTCTAGCCTGGGCAACAAAGCAAGACTGTGTCTCAAAAAAAAAAAAAAAAAATTAGTTACAAGCAAAAAATTTAACTTGGTGTTCTAGGGTTCATACTTTCTTCTGGTAAGACTAAACACACTAAAGAGTAGAACAACTTGAAATGTCAAAGTTGTGATCCAGATAAGAAATCCCAGGGCTTCCAAAATGATACTCCAAACCTCAAACATTCATGTTCAACATGGGTAAGTCCGAGTCACAGAAAATTCTCCAACTTCAACAAGGGAATTAACTGAAGTTTGCTTCTTTTCCTTGACACTGCCTACATAACTATCATTAACAAGCTATAAAACACCAAAAGAAAAAAAAAGGAGGCCGAGTGCGGTGGCTCATGCCTCTAATCTTAGCACTCTGGGAGGCCGAGGCAGGCGGATCACTCGAGGTCAGAAGTTCGAAACCAGCCTGAGCAAGAGTGAGACTCTGTCTCTACTATAAATAGAAATTAATTGGAAACTTAATATATAGAGAAAAAATTAGCCGGACATGGTGGCGCATGCCTGTAGTCCCAGTTACTCTGGAGGCTGAGGCAGGAGGATTGCTTGAGCCCAGGAGTTTTGAGGTTGCTGTGAGCTAGGCTGATGCCACGGCACTTATTCTAGCCTGGGCAACAAAGTGAGACTCTGTCTCAAAAATAAAAGGAGGGAGAAATATCCCAGAATCTTCAAATTAGAGACTGAAATAAAATTGAAGACTTTAAAGTGGAAAGTAAACCCTTTGCTTTATAGACAAATAGGCCCTTGAAAATAAAACTGACTAGAGTCAGCAATGCCTAATGGTTAAGAACTAACCACTGGGGCCAGATAAACCTTTTTGTCTTGGCACCTTAATCCTGCCACTTAGCAGCTACATAACTATTAACACGTAACTTAATCTCTGTGAGCCTCAGTTTCCTCATATGAAAAATAGGAATAATCCTTACCCCATAGGGTTGCTGTAAAGATTATTTTAGACAATGTTCACAACAGTGACAGGCATGAAGCAATTAACTTTTACTACTATTTTATGATCACATAAAGCCTTTGGTGAAGCTGGAACAAGATCTCGGATTCTGAAATCCAGTTCATAGTCTTCTAAGATTATCATAAAATCCACAATTCCAGATTTGCACTGTCATTCCAAAACTCAGAACTGAGATAACTATTTATCGAACACATTCATGAACATCGAGTGGCCTTCATGTTAAAAACTGCTGTTCATGTTAAAAACAGTACTTTTTAACATGGATATTCAAATACCAAGGACACTATAGATTTTGCCCAACAGTTTGTCCCATCAACTAGCTGTGTAATCTTACATTGGTAACCTCATCTAACTGGGTTTCAGGTCCATCATGCATGTGTGAGAATTCATTTATATGATCTCTGCAGTAACTTCTCTAAAATTCTGTAGCTCAATAATAAGCTTCCTAAACAAAACAAAATAAAATAAAGTTCTTGTTATTTGGCAATTTACTTCACTACTCAGAAAATTTGTATTTCCTTGATAGGAAAACAGCAAAATATTAAAGACATTATGGAATCACAAATTACATGTTCTCTTTTCTATAAAAAGCTAAAAATCATTGCACTGCTATTACTGGACACCTGAAGTCTATACTCTCAACTCTGAAGGTGGTTTTTAGATAACTCTGAACCGTTCATCTAGCTGGTCATCACCTCTCCAAGGTACTAAAATCGTAGAAAACTTACCTTCATCTCAAAAGTAACAGGTGAATGTATTAAAACACAAAAGTAGTTTTGACCCCACTAGATAACTTCCAAAGAGAGTGGGCACAAAGATTAACCATGAAACATTCCAGACCAACCTGGAGTTATGGTGATGTCTTCATGAACTCAAGAACCCTGACCACCATATGTTTCTGCGGAAATTTGGGGGAAAGACTATCTAAATCAAGGGTTTAAACAAATTGCCATTTCCTGCTTAGTATATACAAACTATATGGGCTGAAGGGAACAATTTCCCAGGAAGACAAAGCCAACTATTTGCTGGGAAAAAAAAAATTCTTCTCGCAAGTTGTCATTTAAATGTCTTCATTCCTTTTTTGCCTTGTTAGAAAGTAAACACTTGTTATAAACCCAAATGTTTGGGCTGTCCTCACTAGAAAGGAGAAACAGTTGATACTAGAATAGTCCAACTTCTGGCGATCCAATAGAGCAGAATTTGTTGGATTCCTATCAAATACTTGAATGAAACAACTCAATATATTGACTTCAAATAACTAAAGTTTGCATTTAGAAAATTTTGGTCCAATAAATGAAAATCAGTTTCTTCTGGATTAGCAACAACTATTTCACTGATCTCAGTTCTTCAATAAAGAGCTCGACATCCAGTGACACATTTCACTCCTGTGATACATCCCAAAAAGTAAAAAAGCAAAATTTTCTGGGGAAAGGGTTTCCGTATTATCAAGGAATGAGTTATTGGTGACCTCGGTGGCACCTATAGGATACTTACGAATTTGTATGCAGATATTCAAAGGTTAGCTGAGCTCGATTCAGACTGCTGTAATTTGTGAAAGCCATAACTGCAAGGAGGTCTCCAGTCTTTTACCCACTAACTGGGAAATATAACCTTACAATGGAATGGTTTTTCCAGAATTCTTTCCAGTAAAGGTTTAATAAGTCTGTACTCCTTAATGACACTTAAGAAAGATTACCTAGTATCTATCCAAGATATTTAAAGAGATGTTTAAAATTACAATTGATTTCTTCTTTTTTTCTTCTCAATGACTATGACGTAATATTTTGGAACTATTTCACTGATCTCATAAACCTGCAGTCCTAAGGAGCTTTTAACGTTAAGTTGCGAAAGCTCAATCCGGAAAATCTGAGTCGAATGTGGATGGTCTTGGAGTAGAGGGTCCTTGAGTCGGCGGTTTATTACTGCTCCATCTTCATTTTCTTCGAGACTTTTTTATTCCCCCAAATTTCCTCTTCAAGAAATTTACCAATCCGGAAACTTACCAAACCGGAAATTTACCTACTTCTGTCAGAAAACGAAACAAGCACCTGTATCTTCACCACCAGTGCTGCGAGGTTCCTTAAATAGAGCCTAAATCGGTGACCAAGGTGTCCGTGGAGTGCATATGGCGCTGGTTCCAGCTTCACCACCACCCAGGTGAAAAAACTCCCAGGCGCTGACGATTTTTTTCAAAGCCCGACCCAACCCAGCTTGCTGTCCCGCCCCAATTTCCTCAGGGTGGTGGGTCAAATTACCTCACACTGGCCCCTGAAACGCCTCACAATCGACCCGCCCAAATTACCTCAGGCGGCCCGCGCCCCTCCCCCACTTCCCTCAGACAGCGGCCTTAGCCTCTCAGGCCCTTCCCCGGCCTCGGTCCCGTGGCCTGCTCCTCGCGGAGAGAAGTTAGTCCCAGTTTTCAAGGACCCGAACGAGGGCAGCGGCGAGCGCGCCACCCAACCGGGCGTTGCCCGGAGCTCACAGCTGCCTTTGTCCCTCCCCAAGGAATTGGAACCCAACAACCGCAGCGCGCTCTTGGAACCATGTGCTGCCGCCGCCGCCGCCGCCGCCCGCGCGCGCAGGCGCGCGCGCTAAACGAGATGATGTCAGGACTCAGCTCCGCAAAACTCGGTGTTTAACGATGCTCTGCCGCCGCCGCCACAGCAGCCACAGCCACCACGGCCACTGCTTTGTCTCCGCTGGTGCACTCAGCCCAGTCCACCTAGCTCACTCCCCGACGCCCCAAACCCCTGAGGCCTCCGCGGCGCATTCCGCCAATCACAAAGCCGCAGCTCCTCCCGCCCCTGCCCTGATGCACCGCCTCCTGATTGGCGGGCAGCGTGTCCCCACGTGACCGGATCTTGGTTGGCCGGTCCCGCCCCTGTCACGTGAGAGCGCGCACCTCTCTTCCTGCTTTCCTGACCCTCTCCGCCATTTAAAGAAACAGTACCGGGGGCGGGCCGAGCGACGCAGTCCGGACGGTAGCTGCAGCGCGGACCGGAGGAGCCATCTTGTCTCGTCGCCGGGGAGTCAGGCCCCTAACTCGAAGAAGCCCTGGCGCGTCCTCCCCCCCTCCCCGGTCTGGTAGGGCGAAGGAGTGGGCGCGCGGTCGATCGAGCGATCGGTTGGCGGCTCTTTCTCCTGCTCTGGCATCCAGCTCTTGGGGCGCAGGCCCGGCCGCCGCGGCGCGCGCCCGGTGGCCGTTGGCGCTCGCGCCGCGTCTTTCTTCTCGTACGCAGAACTCGGGCGGCGGCCTATGCGTTTGCGATTCGACGAGGAGTCGTCCGGGTGGTCGGTGGTGGGGGGCAGTTGCTCCGCCCCGCTCCGGGGGAGGCGGCGGCGGCAGCGGGATTTGGCGCGGCAGGGGAAGCGGGGGTGGCCGGCGCCGGCCTGGAGGCCTGGCGCCACCCTTCCGGGCCTGCACGGACCCAGTTGGGGGGCCAGGAGGGGGCCGGAGGATGGTTGGTGGTGGGCTTTCTACTTTGCCTTTTTCTCCTCATGCCGCCTTAGTGAGGGGCGGGAGCTCTGGCGGCAGCTCCGGGGAGGGGAGAAGAGCTCCAGAGTCGAAAGACCTGAGTTTGCCTCCGGGCCTAGCCACCAGCTGGCCGAGTGACCTTAGGCAAGTCACCCTGTAATTTGTCTGCGCCTCAGTTTCCTCCTCTGCCTGTCAATGTGTGTGGAATTGAAAGCGCTTTGTAAACTACAAAGCGTTGGTGTACGTAAAGGATGATTATTGTTTGTGATGTTTTTTGAGTTGTAAGACAATTTAACAATTATCCAGTTCTTGCATTTGAACCTGAAAACCTTGGATTGGAGTTAGAGGATCTCAAACTCCCTGAAATTGTATGCAGAAATTTGTGGGAATGGTTAGTTTTGCGGAATGATGATCTATCGCTAGCAAGTTTTCAGTGGGGGATGTGACACATGATTATTTTATGCCACAGGGAGGAAACTGAGGCCTAGATGTCATTTGGGACCCTTCACAACCAATTTGAAGCCCCTGTTTGAGTCCCTGGGATATGTGAGCTGTTTCTATGCATAATGGATATTCGGGGTAACCACACTCCCCTGCTTGGCTTCTACTTTGAATTCCCTTTCACCGTGGGGTGCCTGAAGGGTGGCTGATGCATATGGTACAATGGCACCCAGTATAAAGCAGCTACAATTAGACGTGGATGTGTTCTGTAGTATCAAGAAGCTTATTTAATCTTTGGCCCAGCAACTCTTTGTTTTGTGCTGCTTGTACTGGTGCCTGACTACGTTTTTGACTCTTTGACCATTTTCCACAACCATGGTTGCCATCCATTACTTGCTCCTACTTTTTATTCCTAGTCTGTATGGTTGGTAGTGAAAAGGCTTATTTTTAAATGGTGCTGCCAAGCCTAGCTAATTAATGGTGTGTGTGGATTTTTAGCAAGTGGGCTCACTGGAACAGACTGAACCAGGCTTGCAATTCCTGAAGATGTTTGGGGTTTTTTATTAACTGAAGGTTAACATTGTCTGGAGAGTTTTGTTAGATCTCCTGCAGAACCTCAAAATCGGTAGATTTGGAAGTGATTCAAAGCTTAACTTTTTCCTAGCCTGCCTTGTATTCAAATTGCTTGCAATTGTGATACTAAGATGGCCAAAATGCCACGTTTTGCTTCTTTGTTAATTGTCAGCTGCTTTTATCAAATTCCAGGCCATTATCCAGCAAGCACTAAAAATGTTTGAACAGTTGGATTTCAAACATTTTCATTTTGTGGAGTGGTGCTTACCAAGTGGTACAGCTCTAAGCAAGTGAACACAAACACATTTTAAGTGTATTTTGTCTGATTAGATGTTAGCCAATTATACTATTTCATTCAAATGTCTGAAAAAATCAGTTGACTATTCCTTTTACCTAAAGAGCAGAGACAAATAATCTCACTTCCAGAGAAATGACTGTTTTGAAGAAAAATGTGTTGGTCTTTTAGCTCTTTTATAAGTAAATCTGGATGTACCTCAAAAGAATCTTAAGACTGTGGTGATAAGATGCTTTCCTCTGAAGAAAAGAGGCAGAAGACAACTGGAACTCAAAGCTTGAAATTCTTTGTTAAAACAGTATGTCCAGGATTGAAGGTTGAAAAATGTTTCACTACAGTGTTCTGCAATAGTTCGAGCAGATGTCTTTCATTGTAGCTGCAGCTATGGACTCCAGATTTCTAAATTTTCAAGAACTGGACCTGAAACCTGAAAGAGCTTGTCAGGATGTGGCAGGAACACTGGAGGTAGATTATTTTTTATTTTTCAATTTTGGGACTGTTGACCTTGCTGTGAGAAGAAAGGCAACGACTGAGCAAGCACTGCCACCAGCGCTGTTACTGGGAATTAGAAGACATGAGTTTTTGTCTAGATCCTCAGTGCAAATTGAGGATGCTTCATCCAAAGTGAATTACGGTACTTGTCATTTTCCAACATGCATTATTCTTTTGTCATCTCTGCACTTTCGTTCATACTCTGTCCTGTACTCTAGTAAATGCCCTCCTCTGGTTGTTCACCTGCGAAAACTCTGCCATTTCCTCAGTATTCAACTCAGATGCTCTGTTTTCTGTGAATTTCCTGACTTTAGGCAGAAATGAACTTCTTTAAGTTTTATGATATATATCTTTATCCTGGTATACAAAATCTTGTAAAATATTTACCTGCATTTGCTCTTTTTGCAGATAGCAAACTCCTTGAAAACAAGGGCCTTGTTTAATGCATCTTTGCCCACACATACCACCACCTATGATGAAGCATTTATTAGAAAGGAGGAGTATAGAGGGCAGGCTATCTCAGAATAAGCACTCAGTAAGTGTTTGGTTAATTGCTGTGTGATAACTAAAATTTCTCTTAATTAGAAAAGTCACTAGATATGGGCTATGTTTCTGCCTTTATTTTTTGTTTTGCTATTTTTTAATTCTAAATTTTAAACATCTAGGGAGCCCTCAAGCATAAAGAGAAACTGATATGTTGAATGGGGTATTACCTACAGAAGAATGCAACGCCTTATTCTCTCCTACTCAAGATGGAATCTTGTTAAAGTGAAAGTTAAGGGCTGCTTTTACAAGGAGACAATTTGAAGACCACATTGGAAAATGAAGAAAGGCAATATCTCCTTTACTTTATTGTTGGTACATAAACTTAAAATCTCAATTTTTTTTGTACCACTTGTGGAGCCACTTCCTCTCCACGCCAACTAATGCCCAGCAGCCTAAATATAATCAGATTACTCCCCCAAGGTATGAGGCTTGGAATAGTTACTGTTTGCTGCTTTCCTGAGATAGTTTGTTCTCAGAAGTTGAGAGACAGTCTTTGCCAAAGAACTCTTTCTGTTCCGATTAACAGTCGCTGATAATAAGGCTTTTGTGTTTTTCTTTGTGGGGTGAAGGTTGTTTGCTTTTTGTTTTGATTCATTCATTAATGTCGATGATTGCCAGGTTTGTCAAGAATTAGTACCCATCAGGCAGCTGATATGCTGAAAGCTGGCCTACCCCAGTGTTAAAGTCATGTGTTTTGTAATTCTGTGCATTTGTTATCTCACTTGATTTGTCACTGCCCCTTCTAGTCCTGTGCCTCCTGATTGCTGAGTGTTCACCTGGACCTTCTGACTACCTTCCTTCTGCTATTCCATCAGCCTACAGATCTGGTACCTGGATTTTTGCCCATGGTGATTCCTACCACCTTACTACTGAAGAAGATACCATTCCAGTGGACCACTGTGACCCAAGAGACATTCAGCCATTATGATGTGGCCTTTTACCTCCACTCCTGTCCTGTTCTACCCAGCACAGCCCTTTGTAGTGAAGTCAGAGTCCTTGAGCCAAACAGCTGAAGCTATTTTATCACAACAAAGACCTAGTTTGTTCTATGAGTGTGCATTTCATTTCTTCAATTAAAGCCTTCAGAGAGACACAATAAATTTGGACCAGGGGATTTTTAGTTATTAATGCTATCTGAAGAAAAGCAACATGAGAACAGCATTGGGCTATACCCCACAATTGCAAATGATGAAGTTCATGAACTATCTAGGATACCATCAAGGTCACTGGACCCTGTTCTTTTTCTACTTCAAATGTATAGTCACCTGAATGAGAAAGCAGATATTCTCATATCCAACCCAATGGGATCAAAACAAAGGCACAGTGAACTCATAGCATCATCTTTGGGATTACTCAGGAATCAGGACTTTTCACACAAATGTAAGAAACTCTACCAAGGAATCCCTTTACCTAACAGCATCTCACAAGGCTCCAATCAGATGTCAGAAAAGGCCTCTTGATACATCAAGGTAGAACCTTTATAGTAATCCCCTCTGTTTATATAGCACTTTACAGTTTCAAAGCACCTTTACATACATTTATCTCTTAATTATAATCACTTTTTGCAAATGAGGGAATGGAAATTCAAAAGGTTAAGCAGTTTTCCAAGGTGTCACAGCTACAAAGTGGTAGAGGCCAGGCCTTCTGACTCCCAGTCCAGTGCTTTTCTTGGAATTAACTTAGCTTCCACTTTACCCACAGTGTTAAAAATGGCTGGAGATTGGGAAACTGGAAATATTCCTGGGGTTCCCTATCAGGTGCCCCAGTCACACAGGATGTTATAAGTGTAATTATGTGATAACTGCACCTAGAGCCATATCCCATGGCATATCCCTAAGATTTAGGAGCATACTGTCTCCTCATGGTAGATTGTCCAGTCAGAAATGCATGTATTCTGACAAGGGTGCCCAACATGAAACACAAAGCTGCTTTTAGATCTTTTGTCTGTTTTCATGGTCTTCCCAAAGATGGATGGCCTAATTAACTAGGGATCTTTGTTCTTTTTCTAAGTCTTACTGATACTTCTGGACACTATCTCTATCCTCAAACTAATATTTACACAACATGAGCCATCTGTTTTTTTGTTTTTTGTTTTTTTTAGAGCAGTACAGTGTATATATACATATGTATATATGTCATATATAGAGAGCTTCTGTTGTCTAATAAAGTAGTAAAATACTGTAAGATGTGTCCCTTCCCCCAGTCTATAATTCAGTGTAATGCATTAAGACTTACAGCCAAAAGCCCTATTTAGCTTTTTAACCCAGTGTGTCCTCTAAGTTTAATCAAACATAGTGCTACTTTTGCATCTTCCTTTTAATGAGATGCAGAAAGTGTATCAGCAGTATAGCCAGTGCTTCCTGATTGCCAACAGTTTGCCCTGGAGACCTCATAATAAACAGAGCATTTTTATGACCCCCTTTTCTCATACTTTGTCATTAATGACTTTGTCATTAACTGCTTGAATTAGTATGTCTCTACCATCTGAGAGTCCTGCCTTTTGACCATTACCTTTATTTTCTGTCAAGGGAATCTATAGGAGATTTGTGGGGATACATGGGAAGGGGAAAATTGGGTGAGTTCCATGACAGTTAGCAATATACTTCTCTGTCCCTAGAAATGTACCATAAACTTAGTTCAAGGGTATTGCATCTCAAGTGGGTAAGGAGATTGGGAAAGGAAGAGAGGAGGAGAATAGAGAGAAGGGGAAAGGAAGGGGTGAGAAGGAAATACTGTCTTAGACTTTTGAGTTGTGGCCCATTAAGATCCTACCAATACTTGAGAAGTCATCTAGCCATGAACTTCTTGGAGTAGTATTTACAAAGAAATGGATGCATTTTGCAGATGTATGCAGAAAACCCCAGTGCTATTGCAACTTAAAATCATTAGCCTTGTTCTCTAATAGTCATTTATAAGCCCAACTGCAGGCAAGCAGAATTTATAACAGACTTGACCTTTAACTTCATCAACCTGTAATGTGGCCCACATTAGGGAAAGAATGAATATCTTGGCTTACCACAGGCTTTGCTCACACAGTTTCTGGTTTCTGTGACCTATTTTTTGTATTTCAGCATTTTGTGAACAACTTATTCTTAGATCAATGGTTTTCCAAAGGCTTTGTGGCCGTGAAGCCCTTTGAATGAAAATTATGTGGAAGCCCAGAGTAAAAAATGAAGCTGCTCTGGATGAAGCAGTGAAGCAGGCATAGGGGCCTGAAGCCTGCCACAGCATCTTCCTTTACTACCATGGTGACACCTAAGGGGACTTCCTTGCAACACCTAGAACTCTTCAGAACACAGTTTGAAAACCACTGCCCTAGACAGCAATATGTTTGACCTAAATGACATTCTGATCTTTTTCTGTACCTCCACTCAACACAATCCATGTTCAGTCAATGCTGAATATTGTTAGGAATACTGTGTGCAAACTTAGAAAAGTGAAAGATGGGCATGTCTTTGCCCCCCAAAATAGTCATATGGGCTGAAAGTGGTGTCAAGTGAACCTAGATCAACAGCCCTCTACCCCAGATGGACTTCCAGTGACTGGAATCGGATATAGCCAGAGAGCAGTTCTGTGCACCCTACACTGACAAACCCCCTTAACCAACTTCATTCACAAACAAGATGTTCTAGTGGTATTTGAAGTACATGATTTTGAAGTCTTGATTCTCCGTGGATACCAGAATTGCCAGCAAGCTGGTATTGAAGGTGGTGACTTATTGGACCTATTAGACCTATATTAGACCAACCTGTACATTTGAGCTCTCATCAGCCATGGTACTCTACTTCATGTGCAAGAGATAGCCATTAACTATGAAAGCAGAATTCATATGCTGCCAACATTTCCCAAAGGGGTTCAGTACCTGTTTATCACTCATCTTTTCAAACTACAAGTCACTGTATTACTCAACTAGTGGCAGTTACACTGTTGCTTGGGGAGTTTTGTTTTCAGTTTTTCTATCATTTCCAAGATAAATGAGCTCGTAACCTTAAACAAAAGTCCCAAAAAAATCCTCCTTCAGTGGCATATCTGCCTATTCACCAGTATCATGACTACTCAGCTCTAACTACATGTAACAGCTGATCCTTAAGAGATAATCTTGGACCATCCCATCTCATAAATGTGATTTAAAGTGTAACCATTGGAAAATTTCTTCTAGCCAGTAAGAGATGTTTTTTTAAGATGAGTCTTTTGATGTCTGATGCCATCAACTATAGGTGGTAGGCATAGTTGGAGGCAGACTCTTTGGACAGGCCATGAGTGGTTACTTGCTCTGGCATTTAAAATAGTTTATTGCCTACATTTTTGCTGGAAACATTGACTGACTTGAAAAAAAAAAATCTACAAAGACTGCAGCTAAAGATTTTGCTAGTAGACTCAAGAGCCTCTGTCCTTGTGGATGTTACAGTGGAATCACATCTGTCTCAATACTGTCGTTTTACACTGATTCAGAGTCGCCGACTTCATTCCTTGCCATGAGATACTCTCAGGCATTAAGACAACCTGTTTCTGCAGGAAGGATTCAATTCATAAAGTCTCAGACCATGTTGAAACAAGGAGACTTCATGTGTGTCATGAGAAAATCTCATTCCTTTATGTCATAGTCAATTTAAGGGCCAGCTATCCTGAGCTACTCTAATGAATGCACTGGTAAAACATTGGGAATGGTTTCTTTATATCCTTGTCTCTTATCTTCTAAACTAATAGTAATTACATGACTGATTCTACATGTCGTCAAATGAGGCCTAGGTCTGGTTCCTCTAGACTGCTAACCTTCAACAAATTAAAATCTGGCCTGGTTATATATACAAATGTTATTTGTAAAAGAAGAAATTACCTTCAAGCTCAATTTTCTACCTTCAAGTTGTCGGCTTTTTTTCCCTCTGTTTTTTCCTGTACTTTACAGGAAAAGACATTGATCTGTACTGCCAGTCATTGCCTCCTTAGATGAGTTTAAGGATGATCATCTGCTCGAGGGTCTTTAATGTACACTGAATATAAGACTTGGTGATTGGAAAAACAGTAAGCCTAAAACAAACCTAGGAGTTTGCCTACTATCTCCATGCCTCAAATCTCATCTAAATCTTTCAGCAGCACCATTCAACCAATGTGAGGCCTTGTTTGTAAGATGTTTCTCAGAGATGGGCTAAGTTAACAGAAGGTGAACACTGATTACCAAAGAAAGTAGGGCCAACTTTGACAAACATGGCTCTGCTGACCCCTGTGGCTCCCAGATGTAGCATAGACTCCTAAACAGAACCTCAAGTCTGGATTGAGAATATGGCCGCCTCCTGAGCTGAAAGTTCTCGGGCAGATGAGCAGAAAAATGAAAGCTGGTGTACCTGACGGGCCCTTTCAGATTGGAAAATTATATCCAGAGTAACCCCTATGGATTAACCCTGAAGTACCAAGGGTAAAACTAATTTACAGAGCTGCATTATTAATCTTCCTGTTCCTCCAGATCATAGCCTGGCTATTGGTATGTCTGGCCCTACTGAAGGTACCTTGTTTATTTACCCGACTCAGCTCTTGCCTGCCTTTTCTGACATGTTGCCGCAATCAGACTGACCTTGAAAAGACTGTAGCCGATTTTAGCCTATCTTGTGCCTAACTCCACCAAGGATTTTTGAATAGAAGCAACCCACACCTCACCCCACCAGGACATAATGTTCACAACAGGAGTGACCATGCTTTACACTCCTTGACCAGCAGCTTTTTAAAGATTTTAAGTATAGAATGAGCTTCTATGCTTGCCTACTGTTTGATCATTTTCATCACCTAGGACCTCACCTATCCTATGTGGAAGGAGCACAGCAGATCAAAAGCAGTGTCTATTTCTCTCTTCTACAGTTAATACAGAGATGAGTCTGATTCATCAGTACTCATAGAAATGTACCGGTTCAACTTGGCAAAAGACTTAAGGGAACACAAGAAAAGTTTTCTGTTGAACTTAAAATTTACCACTGACTCAAATAACCTCACAGAACTTTTTGCCAGTGAAAGGAAGTTGTCTTGCTTCACATCAGTGGATGGTTGGGCTCTCAGACTCATGATCACTGAGTTTGCTTATGTTGAAACTCTATGGTATCATCCAAAGTATGCTATTGGACATGATTGTTATTCCATTCAAATGGACTGCAGACTTCCTGCGAACGGGACAAACTTATCCCTCATGGTGTGTGTGTTGTTGTTGTTTTTCCTTAAGAATACGTTTATTACCAAGGAAGAAACAATGCCAGCTGTTACCATTCAACTTCAAGAGCAGAGGTTAAGCTTTTTCCTGTGTCTCATCTTATCCTGGACATCAGTTGTTTTTCATTGCCCAGCATCTGTTCCATCTCATTGTAAGAACTTGCTGATGTTTCTTGGGACCACGTCTTCCTGTTTTTAGTCCACGTGGTTTGAAGAGTCTGACCCAACCTTGGGCTTCGTGTAATTCGGACCTCATCAATCAGCAAATCCCATCTCCTTGACCATAGTGATTGGTTCAGGAATGGTTGTGTGATTCAAGTTGGTCCAGTGATACTCAACCCTAGGAGTTTTACTAAACTGTGGAGGAGGAGAAGCTCTCTTTATTGAGGTGCTTTAGCTTTGTAGAATGAAAAACTCAAACCAACAGGGCCTACCATATTGAATGAACCAGTCAAAGAATGAAGCCAGTGCAGAGGAAAGCAGAGCCAAAATATAGAGAGACTTGAATCCTGATGACAACATTTGTGCCCCTGGATCCAACCGTGCCTGAAGCTAGTATATCCCCTGGACTTTTCAGTTATGTGAACCAATAAATACCGTTTTTTGCTTAAGTTACTTTGAGTTGGGTTTCTATTACTTGAAACTGAGTCCTGACTAAGGTAGTACCTACCAACATTGAAACTTGGCATCCGTTTATTAAACTAGAGGTCATGGCCACACTGAAATTATTTTCCAAAGTGGAAGATGAAATGAGACAGGAACTGAGAGAATATTTGCATGGTAGAAAAAAACAGAAGAAAACCTAAGTGTCCATCAGTAAAGGATGGGTTAAATAAGATATGGTTCTGCCATATAAGAAAATCTAAATATTAAAATGAATAAAGTACATTTATTGTGTATGGACATGGAATAATGGCCATGATACATTAAGTGAAACAAGATATTGATAGAAAAGTATATAATGTGAACTCATTTTAAAATGTGTGCTTATGTTTATAAATGCATAGAAAAGTCTATAAATGGCTTTCTTTGAACAGTGTAGATTACATGAGACTACAACTTTATACATTTCTGTATTTGAATATTTTACACTACCCACATTACTTTTATTATTTAAAAAATAAAGAATTCTAAAAATTTAAGTGCTTACTGTTTGACCTTGGCAAGTTACTTAACACTGAGCCTGTTTTGTTAAGTGATTGAAAATACCTTTATATTAGTGGATATTAAAATATATTCATCATCCATTACTCAATTCAGATTGCTACACCTTGGCTGAAAAACTCAGACTCAGTAATTGTTCCTTAATTTTTAAAGCATATCTCTTTCAAATGGATTTGTTTGGATTGTCAAAATTATATAGTTTTAGTGTTCATAAAAGATGTTCTAGTTCTCAGCTGATGTTAATCTATTAAGACCTTTATAGCAGTATCCACATTAGGCAGAGAGAAGGGAAAAAGACACTTAAAAAAGAAAGTCCTTGAGTTACTCTGAGTCACTACAAGTAGTCGATAATGACCTTTTAGTTAAATGCATTACACCTGCATCTTATCTGAACTTTAAGCAGCACAGACAACTCCCACCAGCACCTTGAAACACTCTTCCCTTGAGCACTATAACATTTTTCATTTTCTTAGCAACTTCCTGGTTACTGCTCCATAGCAGGTTCTATTCTCCCCATCATTTAAATTGAGTATAGTCATCATTTAAGTTGGTATAGTGGACATCCATTGCTTTGGCCTGCCCCAAATCACTTCCCCTTTCTTTTAGTGATAGATTCCCCACTTTTCCTTTGGAAAGCTACTCCTTCCCATTCCGTGTGGTATTCATGGAACTGGAGATTGCAATAGTCTGCCCTCATTCACCCTGGCTGAGATTTAAGCAATCCAAGGTTTTTCTATAAAAATTTCCCTCCCACCAGGACTTTGATTCTTAGGAGAGTTGACCAAACAAAGTTATAGGAGTTAAATCATTCTGATGATAGTATCCCAAAGAAACCATAAAAGAGTTGATGCAAGGAGATCTCCGAATACCCTGGTTCCTTTTCTCTATGCCTGGTTATCCACATTTTCCTTTGATTGTAAAGACTACCATATGTCCTCCTTGTAAGTTCCCTGTTTGTCAGCCAAAATGAGTTTCTATTGCTGTTACCAAATGACTGAATGTTTACAGAAATTGATACCAGAGAGCTAAATATTAGGCTTCAAACCCTCAGGAACATGTATAGGATCTGGAATTTATTAGCACACTGAGACTGAGTTAAGGGCTACAATGACTCTTGCTTTGTGTCCCATGGGGGAAAATTAGCAGTTTGTAGTGGCAAAACAGCTAGTGGTGTTATCCCACATTGATATTTGGAATCATGTGCCTATTGGCAAAATTTGGAGAACCAGATTGTTGTTGACAATAGGACAATTTGAAGTGGATAAAGAAAGCTAAGACCATTGAGTTGGAATGGCTCTTGGATTGCAGTGGATAATTTAAAGTGAAGAGAACAAGCTTAAACCCAGAAATTTACCTGTGGGTATAGAATAAAATCCAGAGCCTTTCTGTGTTCAGGATAAATAAATGTCTTTGTGCTTAAATGCAACCTAGTATTTGGACATTGATTCCCCAAACTGCAACATTACCGTACTGGTTGCATCTGTAACATTACTAAGATCTATTGTGAGCATTAAGGTATTAAACAGAAGAGACTGACTTACAGAGTGCTGATATCTGGGAGGATTTAGAAGACTTAGAGAACCCCAAATCCCTACATATCTCAGGAATGAAGGTTTGAGTCACCCTGTTAGTCAAAAATTCTTGACTGAATTTTTAAAAATTATATGAGGGGCACAGGGGGATGTATAGTGAAAGAGGAAGATATAAATACCAGCCACAGCCCTGTGATCTGTTGCAGGAATAAGATCTATAGCCTCTACCCCATGTCTAGCTTGCCTTATTTTTGTTTCTTCCTCTCTTCATTCATTACAGTATTCTACCCCTCATCTACTCCATGGCTGAAGTTTGAGCTCCATCCCAGTTAGTCCCAACAGAATTGGAGCTGAGCCATTCTGATGTCAGAATCTCATTAATGCATATGGGTGTGTTGGTGATGGTTAAATATACCAATAAATCTGTAAGTTGCAGGTTACCGAGATGGGGTTAAGGTATTTTTTTTAATCGTTCATGTTAAAGGATGCAGCTCCACATAGTGAACATTGTCTAACTTGTATCTTTTTTCCCCCCTTTTGAGAATAGCACCTCACCTTTCCTCTGGGAGGCTACCCCTCCCCCATACCATGTGGGCCCAGAAGATAACATGTCAGAGGCATGAGAGTTCCTGAGAGGAATAGGAGAGGCCCTCAGTTGCCCAGATTTCCTGACTTGCTGGAATGTTAAGCTTCTCTAATTTTTGTGAACTTCCTCATATCTTTGCAATGAGTTACACTCACTGGGCAGGCTGTTCCATATGGCTACACAAGGTATCCCCTGTACAACAATAAACAGGCCCTGTGGCCACAGCTTTTGTTGCTTACAGTCAGAGAAGGCCACCTGAATCAGTGGCTCTCTTTTGCCAAAAGTCTTTTTGCCCTATAGATTCTGAAAAATCTCATCCATTCCCCTGACTTTGGTTTCCTGTAGTGCGTTGATAACTTCCAGATTCCTGTCTTTGGCTCAGATATGTTCCCTGAGCTCCAGATCTGAATGTCCACCTGTCATCTAGATGTCCCTTGCTTGATTAACACGCAGGTATCTCCCTCCCAACATATTAAACACTCACCCTGAAATTTTTTCCTCAAAATCTGCTCTTCTAGTGTTCCCTTTCTTGGTAAACCTCTCTCCCCAGATATCCTTGTTAGTCATTACATTCTCTTAGTGTTACGTAAATATACCTCAAAATTATCTCCACTTCCGTCACATTTGTCCAAGGGAACACTATCTGTTGCTAGAACTATTATGATGCCTTTCTAGTGATGTCACTGCCTCTACTGTTGTCCTACCACCCTCTGTTCTCTACAGAGCACCTAGAGTAGTCTTTGATACACAGATTTGTGTCACTCCTCTGCTTAAAACCTTTTAATACTTATTTCAGAATAAAATAAAAACTTTTTCCTGGTTTACAAGGTTCTTATGCCTCAAGCTTCATCTTTTTACCACCTCAAACAGGAACAGCTCAGTTTTGTTATATTTTTATTCCCTGTAATACTTCATCTAAAAAAAGATTCCAGATTTTTTAAAAGAGGAGGGGAAAGTTCCATTAAAAGAAAAAAAAAATGGAAACCCATTGGTAATTCAGAACAACCCTATAAATTCCCTATTACTGTGCATACAATAATTTATTTTCTTGTATATCTCTTTCCATGAAGTTGTCTTCTAAAGTAAATCTGAATGTGTAACTGTGAGACACAGAGCTACAGTAAGATGCCTGGAGAGCAACCAAACCCCTACTTCACGACATTTACAAAAATAAATACCAAAAGTACTACAAATGTAAGTGTTAAAATGAAATATTGGAAGAATATTTAGGAGACTATTTTTATAATCATATGACATAGGAGATCTTCATAAACAAAACAGGAAACGAACCTAGAAGCCATAATTGAAATGATACTACATAAAACAGATCTTGGTTCTGTTAAAGGCACATGATGACTGGGGAGATATTTCCAACATAAGTGACAGATTCAGGACTAATATCCCTAATACAGAAAGTTCCTAAAAATTGATAAATAATAATCGCTCTTTATTTAGTGCTTGCTCAGTGCCAGGCATTGTTTCAGGCACATTGCAGTTATTATCTCATTTAATCATTACAATTTTTGAGATAGGTAATATCCCTGTTTTACAGCTAAGGAAACAGGTTCAGAGGGATAAAGTAACTTGCCCATGTCACACAATAGATGATGGAGCTATGACTCAAATTCAGGTAGTCTGACTCTAGAGTGTGTGCTTTGACATTATGCTCTTCTGCATTTCGATAAGCATATGAAGGAGGATCAGTGAGTCAGTGAGATATACATCAAAGCAAAGGTACCATTTGTCACCTGTCAGATGGAAAAATTTAAAGGAGCAATAACCTACAGTGCTGGTAAGAATTTGGGTAAATGAAAACTTTTGTACATTGTTGCTAAGAATGTCGATTGTTCCAGTCTTTTTAGAAGCCAATCTGGCAATGTTGATTTAACTTTTAAAATATACACTTTTTAACCCAGTAGCCTTATTTTGAAGACTGTCTCAAAGAACTAAAAGCGCCAAGATACAAGGACATCAGTATGAGAAGTTTACTGCAGTGTGGGCTGTAGTAGCAGAAAAATGGAAACAACTGGAGAGTCCATCAAAGGGAAATGGTTGAGTCAGTTGTACAATAGCTATGCTCTGAAGTATTATGCAGTTGTTAAAAAGGGTGAGTCAGATCTCTAGCTCCCAACCTGTGGCATGTCCATTATATATTAGTTGTTTTTGTGTTTTGTTTTGTTTTTGAGACAAGGTCTCGCTCTGTTACTGAGGCTATTCACTCCAACCTCAAACTCCTGGCCTCAAGTGATTTTCCTGCTTCAGCCTCCCAAGTAGCTGGGACTACAGGCACACACCACCACACCTGGCTAGTTTTTCTAATTTTTTGTAGAGGCAGGGTCTTGCTATGTTGTGCAGGCTGGTCTCAAACTCCTAGCTTTAAGTGATCCTCCCACCTCAGCCTCCCAAAGTGCTGGGATTACAGGCATGAGCCACCATGCTGCCCCATGTTATGATTTCTTAAGCAAAAAGAAAATTACTGAGTAATGTGTATCATGATTACCCATTTTTGTGAAAATAAGGAAGAAACCTACACATGTGTCTAAATGAGCATGAAAGAGAAGTAGAAAGACACAGCAAGCTATTAAGGTTGAAATTAAGGGGTTTGGAGAAACTCGGTGCTTTATACATATCGGCCTTGTTTCACTGGTTATGAGCACGTGACTTAAAGAGTTTACAAATCTCTAAGGGAAATAATTTAGATATAATTTAAAAAGCAATTAAATTGTGCTTGGACTTTTTCAAATTAGCATATGCTAATAGAAGAGCGATAATCAAAAAAGAGGGCAACAAAGTAACAGCTGGTTAAATCTTTTAGATCCAGGGTTGCCTGTTGAAGATGCTCGGGTGCCAGGTGACTGGTCCTCAACTTTTGGATAAGTCACTCCCTACAGCAGAGAAAGGGTTATGCATTAGGGTGCCACATTCAGCCAGTGGAACATGAACAACTCCTGGGACTTGTCCTTAAAAAGGACTGTGCCTTTATCCTCCTTACTCCTCCACCCTGCTGGCTAGAATGTGGACTTGATGGCTGGAACCTGAGCATGTCACTACTGGACCATGAAGGAAGAGGAGCTGTGCGCGACTGATGGTGGAACAACAAGTTAGAAGGAGCCTAGGTTCCTGATTATTGCGGAGCCACCATCCCAAGTCACCATCCCAGATCTGAGCTGCTCACCTCTGGACTTCATTTACAAGACAAATTTCTGACCTCTCTACATCATCTGTATTGGAGGTTTTCTCTCCCTCGTGACTGAGCCTCATCTGCCTACAAATAGTTTGATGGAAATATTTCTTAGGGACATCTGATTTCATTTGTTTTAGTTTTATACTACTGAATCAACCTGCCCCTAGCTGGACTTAACCAATGAGGGTTGTGCCCCAGGTTGATGACTAATGGAGTCATGAACCAGCCATATATCTCCCATCATAAATTAATAAATTGGCCCCTTGCGTTATTAGCTAAGTGGCCTTCCTTTATGCTCCCAGAGTCCCATTGCTATGGACACCAGTTGGTTTTGTCTGCTCAGCGTCCATCCCCACTTCTTCTGATAGGGGCATATCAGTTTCCACCCCTCCCCACTTTCTGCCCATGTACTCACTATCCCTGGCTCCAGAGGTGAGTATATAACTCTGACTGACTGACCAGAGCACTGCTGGTCAGGATAGTTGGATAATGAATGAGTATAGGATCTAAGCCAAGCCGATTTTGTACAAATAGAGCTAATCCTAGGTGATGAGGGGAGGGCATTTTCTTTTGTTTTTAATCCACTTTGAATTTCGAACTGTAAGATTGCAAGCCTGATACTACTGGCAGCCCTCTTGGCACCATGAGGAGATTGCCCATCTGAGAATGGAATCAATGCAGGGAACTAAGAATCCTAAAGACATTGTTGTCTCCTGGATCCAGCCATGCCTGAAGCTAAACTCACCGTGGATATTTTTGCAAATTAATAGATTCAATTTTTGCTTATTCATTTTAAGGTGTCTTCTCTTTTCATGAAATGGACAGACTCCTGACTAAACCATATCCATTTCAACTTACTACCAGCATCTGACACAGAAAGATGTTTAGGAAATAAAATGAGATCAATTTATAAGAGGCAGAAACTTAAAACCTATTAATTCCAGTGGACTGAGCCAAGCAAGTTTCTGCACTAGCAAAGCTGAGGAGGCTGGCAACCTACTTAACTTCTCTGAGCCTGTTTCTTTAGTCATAAAAGAGTAGGATCAGTCTCTATCTCAGAGGTGATGAGTACTAGGAGGTGAGATGATGAACACAGTGCTGAGCACAGCACTTGGCACATAGTAAGCCCTCAGCACATGGCAGTTGTTAGTAATAGTGTTATTAAGGTGACAATGCCCTGGAAGAATCCCAGCCAGCCAGCCAGCCATCTTTTTAACCTCAGCTGTAACTGCTGGTGTTTAGGACATATACACACTATCACATTTGATCTCTTTTATAAGAAAAATCAGTTATTTGCCCCCACCACCCTCAGGAATGCTGGTGACAGAAAAACATGTCACATTCCATTTCTCTCGTAGGCTAAGGTCTTTGGGTGCCACCCGTGCCAGTTGGCCTGTTAGCAAATGGATAGGAGGCCTGGATTAAGAAGGTCCAATACTCTTTGATTGAAATAAGTCCTTCCTATCCGTGTCAGAGCAGGTTCTGGGAGCCTAGGCACACTCCAGGTGGATGAATGGCACACCACTTCGCTGACTGCATCAGATCAAGGCCCCACAGCCTGCACTGCTCCTCCTTAAAAAAGAAAGAAAAGAAAAGAAAGAAAGGAAAGAAAGAAGAAAGAGAAAGAAGAAAGAAAAAAAGAAAAAGAAGAAAGAAAAAAAAAGGAAGAAAGAAGAAAGAAAAGGGAAGGGAGGGAGGGAGGGAAGAAGGGAGAAAGAAAAAAACTATAGGTTTATTTAAGTCACAGAGTTAGAGTCCTATTTCTTTACACCAGGGGTCCTCAAACTTTTTAAACAGGGGGCCAGTTCACTGTCCCTCAGACCATTGGAGGGCCAGACTATAGTTTAAAAAAAACTATGAACAAATTTCTATGCACACTGCACATACCTTATTTTGAAATAAAAACACAAACGGGCAAAAGCACCCACATGTAGCCCGCGGGCTGTAGTTTGAGGGTGCCTGCTTTACACGAACAAGAATAAAAGGTATTTTTCTGTTCAGGTTTAATTCTGTACTGATAGAATATTCCAGAAGACCTAACAGCTTTATGCCAGGTTGCCATCCTGAGCCAGCAGACCTAGTTAGGTCAGGCAAATGGGCAGAAGCCAGATCAGTGACTTCATCAAGTGAACACTGAGGGCCATGGGGACCCTTGGGCTGACCTTTACCGCTCAACTGAGGCAACAGAAGTGGAACAAAAACACCAGAATCACATTTGCCTTGACTTTTTTGCAACGGGATTTCGCAAGTTTAGAAGATGCCTGGGACTATTGGGAGTCAGGGAGAAGATGGTTTGGCCAGAGAAGGTATTCAAGTCGAGAGGTTGTTTTAGGCGTCCAGAATTCAGGAACGTACACAGAGCAGGGCTTCTATGGGACAGGAGACAGGAGGACCATTGAGCTGAGACTTCAGACACAAATATTCAGTGGCATGCTCAAAAGATGATGACAACAGTCCTCAAAACAGCATTCAACTTACATCCCCTCCTCAGAACACACACCTCGAGTACCCTAGGAATTAGCACTTAAAATAAATCCTCTGGTGACCTTGTGACCGGCACAATCACGCTGCAGCATATTCTGTGTGTATTTCACAATGTTCATTTTGAAGAGTAGACCTCCTTGCAGGTCCTGAGGAGGAATGGATAAAGCTCCACGGCTTCTCCCAACATTTCCTGGCCCAAAACAAGCCCGGACAACCATTCTGAGATGCTTCATTGTATCTAACTATGGAAAAACTTAAAGTGATCAAAAACAAATGGAAAAGTTTCAAGAAATCTCAAGTGTATAATAGCAGGCATCCTTGGCTTGGGCCGAAAAGCAAATTGATACCAAGTTGTTCTTAGCACTTGGCCAAATGGATTGCTGTTTCCTCATGCCTGGGGCACCCAAAAAAGGACAGAGGGCTCAGGCTGTGTTTATGGCCCTTTGCCTGGATACCTCCCCCAGTTCCTTCTTTTAAGGCAAAGAGCCCTGCTCCAATAGCATTCTGTCCCGACAGCTTCCCAGAGCCTGTCTTGCCTATGCAGACCTGATTTAGGACAACTGGATACTCTTGCTTCACTTCTGTGCTTGTCCTTAGGACCTAACAGCCAAAGAAGGAGACGCAGAACCTGCTGGTTCCCCCTCCTCCCTTGCCTCTCTCATTCCCTGGTCTTTATTTCACTTACAAAATTGAGTCAAGCTTCCATGTGCCTCCCACATGGGCCTTACACGAAACCACTTTCTTTTACACTTCTGTGGGTGCCAGATCTGTATGGAGGGGATCCTCCTACACCCCCCCTGGTTCTGGCCCCTTCCCCTTTCTCTAATCCTATAGTATCCACCTCCTACCTGTCCCTTGTGAAATTTCACATGGAGGAAGGCCACTCATGATCTATCAAGACTTAAATAAGCCGGGCGCAGTGGTTCATGCCTGCCTGTAATCCCAACACTTTGTGAGGCCCAGGCAGGAGGATCACTTGATGCCAGTAGTTACAGATTAGTCTGGACAACACAGCAAGACCCTGTCTCTACAAAAAAATTTTTTAAAAACTTAGCCAAGTATGGTGGCGCATGCCTGTAGTCCTAGCCACTTGGGAGGCTAAGGTGGGAGAATCACTTGAGCCCAGGAGTTCAAGGTTGCAGTGAACTATGATCATGCCATTGCACTCTAGCCTGGGTGACAGAGCAAGACCCCATCTCTTAAAAGAAAAAAAGACTCATGCAAGATAAAGAGCTGCAAGAAATTTGAAAACTTCACATGCAGATTGTTACTAAGAACTAGGGTCAGAATATGGTATACAGGACATGTCATAACTTGTGGGGTCCAGTGCAAAATGACACTGTGGGTCTCCTTGTTCAAAAATTAATAAGAATTTTAAGAGGGTTACAGCAAAGCATTAAACCAAATATGAGGCCCTTCTGAACATGGAGCCCTTCTAAGTACAGGGCCCTGTGTGACTGCACAGATTATGTGCCCAGGAATCCAACCTTGATGGTATATTTCACTCAAATACCCTTTGGTTAAAGGTCTAAAACACACCTGTGCTACCCAGTCTCCCAGTTCTAGACAGCATTCACTATCATCATTATAGTACTTAATAATGACTGATTAATTAGGGCTGGGAACAGAGCTAAGCTCTCTGCCTTTATTAACTCAGTTGAGACTCAGAGACTCCAAAGAAGGAAAACCAGTGTCCGTTAGCTTGTCACTGGTCTTCTACCCTATCTTCTAACCAAAACCTCATCCTCCAAACCATGTATCTATTACAGCCTGGAAAACAACGGACCCATGATGGTGGATGAATAAGAACAGAAGCATTTAAGCCACTAAGGCAAGGAGATTTTAATAATAGAATAATAGCTTCCATTTATCAAACCTCAGTGTGTGCCAGGCACTGTGCTCTGCAATTTACATGCATCATCTCATTTGACACATTTCTGGTATGAATTTTATTCTATAGCCCCAATGCAAGAAGTTTCCAATACCTTTATTTTATAGGTCATGTCATGCTGTCCTGAGTCTGCTTGCTCACACACAGCCTCACCCCCAGCCATGACTCCTTGTGATGCCAGAAAACTGAGGCACCTCCCATGATGGTCACCACGGGGAGGAAAAGCCCCTCCCCCACCTGCTATTGGACACCATGGCCAGGACCATTTTTCCTTCTAGCAACACTCAGTCCTCCAACTGACCTGAGAGCTACACCTGGACTCTCACCTTCTCCAGCTGTCAGGACAAGCACAATCCAGGTCTCTGTCCTATTTGAACATCCCCCAAACCCTGTCCTCTTCTCATCTCAAACCTGTCCATGGCCCTGAAACACCAAACGCTAAGGACATCCGCAGATGGGGTATAGACGGCAACATCAGCCTCCTTTCGCTGGACTGAGCTGGGGACAGGAACTGCTAACACCAGAGGTTGTTTTATTTTTTTCTTTTAATAATTTGCATGTTATATGAGATGAAGAAACTTTGGCTGAAAGGAGGAGTCACTGACCCAAGGTCCTATAGCTAGAAAGTGGCAGAGCCTGGATTTCAAGCTGCCTGATCTAACCCCATATTCCTCAAATGTGACCCACTTGCCACCATCATTGGAAACACCTTGGGACAGCTCATTTAAAACTTCCCAAGCCCCACACTGGCCTACAGAATGAAAATCTCTAGGGAGAATCTGCATTTTTTAAAACTATTCCACATATTACTTAGAAGCTTCTGGAATGTCTATCTGAAAGTCCAGTGAACCTCACAATATTAAGTGTGGCAGACAGGCTCTAAGGTGTTCCCACTCCCACCCCTCTCCCGTGACTGATGCCACCTGGTATTCACACCTGTCTTAGTTGGCTCAGGCTGCCATAACAACATACCACAGCCTGGATGGCTTAAACAACAGAAATTAATTTCTCACAGTTCTGGAGGCTGGCAGTCTGAGATCAGGGTGACCAGCTGCTACGTTTCTGGTGAGGACTCTCTTCCCGGCTTGTAGATGGCTACCTTCTCAATACGTCTTCACGCAGCCTTTCCTCGGTACATGCACACGGAGAAAGGTAAAGAGCCCTCTGGCGTGTCTTCTCACAAGGTCGCTAATCCTACTGGATGAGGGCCCCACCCTTATGACCTCATTTAGCGTTACTTCCTTAGAGGCCCATCTCCAAGTACATCAATCACACTGGGGTTAGGCTTCAACATGAATTTTGGGAGGACCCATTCAGTCCCTAACAACACCCTGTCAAATCCCTTCCTCTGCACTTGGACTTCCCCTTGAGGCAGGACTTGAGATTTACTTCTTTTTTATTTTTTCTCATCAATTTTCATTTTCAAATTTATTTTTTAACTTTTTTTACCGGATTTGCATCGAGCAAGTAAGGAATTTAGATTTACTTCTAACCAGTAGTGTCTGGCAAAGGTGATGGGCTGTCACCTTGTGATTATATTACATTATATATGACTCCATCATGCTAGCAGACTTACTCTCAAGGGTCCCCTTGCTGCTTTGTTGAAGAAAGTGGCCATGATGGTAAAAGCCGACATGCAGAGAAACTGTGGGTGGCCCCTAGGAGCTGAGGGTGGCTTCCAACCAAAGGACAGCAAGAAGCAGGGGCCCTCTGGCCCATGGCCACAAAGAACTGAATTCTGCCAACAACCTGAGTGAGCTGGGGAGTGGATTCTTCCCCATTCATGCCTCCAGATGAGGATGCAGCCTGGCCCAAAGCTTCGTGGTAGCCTCATGAGTCCCTGAACAGAGGACTCAGCTAAGCCATGCCTGGACTCCCAACCCACAGAAACTGTGAGATGCTAAATGTGTGCTGGTTTAAGCCACGAAGTTTGTGGTAATTTGTTACACAACAATGGAAAACTAATAAGAAAATGCCACAGTCTCCACCTACGAGGCTACATGGATAATCCCTCTCATTTCTAGAAGCAACTTATGTACTTCCCAAGCATGACAAAGGACAAGTGCGAGATGGATTGCTTTTGAATTTTTGTAATGTCTTGATTATGAAAAGTAATAGATGTTCATTGTAGAAAATTTGGAAGCATGCCAGAAAGAAAATTAAAATTGCCCCAAATAATTTCCTCCTGGCCGCTCAGATAACCACAGATAACACATTGGCAAACAGCCTCCACCACCTTGCTTCTAGGCAGACAGGCTGGATAAAGTTACAACCAAGGAACGCTCTGTACAAACTGTTTTGTATCTTGCTCTTTCCGCAGTGTCAGCCCACATTTTCTAAAGAATTTGAAGCATTGGAGGGGTGAATTTGTTCCTGGCATTTTGGGGCATTGCCAGACCCTACTTTGCATGACCTCAGGTTTTTCCCAAACTAGGCTTTGGCAAAGGACACTCATTTGGAGGAAACTGAGGCCAGAGAGGGAAGCACATGCCCAAGGCCAGATAGCTGGTCAGGACCCAGAGATTTCTCTCCCTCTAAATTCTTCATAACATTGTAGCTTAGCTGCTATATTCCGAAAGCACACGCAGTGCCCCAAAGCTGTTACCCTTGAAATTATGATCAGAGTTCTGTTCATGTAAGACACAGCCTCATTTCCAATCAAGGCAGGCACACGGAGGGCCTTGGAATGGGGGAAGCCAACACCCTTCTGCCTGAGACCTGGCCAGCCCACCCTCCACGTGGCCTTATTCTCCCCTCTCCCCCAGAGCAGCTGAAACTTGACTCCTAGAGCATCTTTCTGGAACTTTTAGGATTTGGCCTTCTTTTAAATGTGAGTGGGCGCTGGGTGTGATGGCTCACACTTGTAATCCCAACACTTCGGGAGGCTGAGGCAAGAGGATAGCTTGAGTCCAAGAGTTGGAGACCAGCCTGGGCAACATAGTGAGACCCCATCTCTACCAAAAAAAAAATTTTTAATTAGCCAAGCATGGTGGCATGCACCTGTAGCTCCAGTAACTCAGGAGGCTGAGGCAGGAGGAGCACTTAAATCCCAGGAATTCAAGGCTGCAGTGAGCTGTGATAATCCTACTGCACTCCAGCCTGGGAGACACATTGAGACCCCCTCTTTAGAAAATAAATAAATAAATACATGCGAGTAGGGACATAGGAAAGAGAAGGAAGAAGGAAGGCAGGAGTCATTCATTCAATAAACTTTCATCAAGCCTCTGGAAGAGCAGGCCCTATGCTAGGGACAGGAGCTATTAAGATAAATAATACGAGGTCCCAGCCCTAAATGATACTTCTATATTTGAACATGACACATGGCAGGTATTGCTTCTGCAATGAAGAAATGCCATTTAGTAAAGTTTTTTTTACAAAAAGAATACCTTAGTTGAACATTTATAAACTATGTGATTTTTTCCTATTGTTTATGCTGTATAACAAACTACCTCAAAACTTAGTAGCAGGCCGGGCGCTGTGGCTCACGCCTGTAATCCTAGCTCTTGGGAGGCCGAGGCGGGCGGATTGCTCAAGATCAGGAGTTCAAAACCAGCCTGAGCAAGAGCGAGCCCCGTCTCTACTATAAATAGAAAGAAATTAATTGGCCAACTGATATATATATATATAAAAATTAGCCGGGCATGGTGGCGCATGCCTGTAGTCCCAGCTACCCGGGAGGCTGAGGCAGAAGGATCGCTCGAGCCCAGGAGTTTGAGGTTGCTGTGAGCTAGGCTGACGCCACGGCACTCACTCTAGCCTGGGCAACAAAGCGAGACTCTGTCTAAAAAAAAAAAAAAAAAAAAAAACTTAGTAGCATAAAACCACCATCATTTTATATACTCATGATTCTATGGATCGGGAACTGGGCAGGGCATAGTATGGCTGGCTCATCTCTGGGATTAGACATCGGAGACATTAGCTGCAGTGCCTAAGATGGCTGAAGATGGCTGCGACAGCTCAACTGGGGCCCTATATCTGGGGCCTCATTTCTTCTCCATGATGTGGCTTCTGTGACAGGAATGTCCAACATGGTTCCTTCACTTCCCATATCTGGCACCAGGGCTGGGAAGAGTTGGATAGCTGGAGGCAGGTGGAGTGTCCTTCTGGGATGCTGCCTTTCCACGTGGCTAGCTTGGGCTTCCTCCAAACATGGCAGTCTCAGGGTAGTCAGGCTTCTACATGGCAGCTGACTTCCCCCAAAGCAAACGTTCCATGAAAGAGGAATTAGAAACTGCAGCCCTCTTAAAGGCAACAAAGAGAGAAGTCACAGTATCTTTCTACGACCTAGTCCCCACTGTCACACACCATTACTGCTGCTTGGGTCTATTCATTAGAAGTGGGTCACTAAATCTAACCCATATTAAAGGGAAGGGGAATCAAGCTCCATTCCTTGAAGAAAGGAGAATCATATCAAAGAATTTGTGGGCATATGTTTTTCAAAAGCACCACCACAGTGACACAGTCCACTTCACAAGGAGGCTAAGACACCCCCTCCTCTGTCTCCCTCCAATCCTCTGCTTTCTTGGAACCTGTACAAGGTCTTCCCTTTGTGTCATAATGAGCAGTGTAGCTGATTTCCTCTTCCTTCTTGTCTCTCCCAAACACTCCTGACCTTATTTTCTACCCATGAAAGCTTATCAGTGTATTTTTTTCCCATCTTATAGACAGCCTCTTCCCTTAGATGAATTTTGGTGCCAATTGTTAGAATAATGAAATTTCTATTTGTTATGTAATCCTTTATATAGAGAAAATGATTTTAAATGAAAATTCTACATCCAACCATACTATAAAGCAAATATTCAGGCAAAAGAAGATATTTGAAGACAAGCAAGGATTCTGAAATTTTCTTGTGCAACCTCTCTGAAAAGAAATTACTCGAGGATGCACTCCAACAAACTGATAAAGGAATCCAGGAAAATGACTTGGGAAACAAGAAACAGTAGAACTAAAGCAGGAGAAGGTTGGAAAAAATCCTAACCTGACAGCTATGTAGCAGACCTAAAATACAATCTGTGAAAACTAAAATTGGGCCAGGCACGGTGGCTCCCACCAGTGATCTCAGCACTTTAGGAGGCCAAGGCAAGAGGATTGCTTGAGGCCAGGAGTTCAAGACCAACCTGGGCATCATAGCGAGACTTTGTCTCTATAAAAAAATTTAAAAATTAGCCAGGCATAGTAGCACACACCTGTAGTCCCAGCTGCTTAGGAGGCTGAGGCAGGAGGATCACTTGAGCCCAGGAGTTTGAGGTTGCTGTGGGCTATGCTGGCATCATTGTATTCCAGCCTGGGCGATAGAACAAGACCCTGTCTCAAAAACAAAAAAACAAGTAAAATTGAAAGTCAGAGGTCTCTAGGACAAAAACTTCGAGAATTAAATGGTTGTCATTGCACAAATTGAATAAGTAGAAATCTAAAAATTTTTAAGGATGAAATGAAGACAAGGACTCTTGCACTACCAAAAAAAGGAGTGCACAGGTAGAAACTTTGGGGGAACAGAAGCTTTGTTAGAAAATCACGGTCAAGCTAAAATGCACATGATTTGAGACAACTGATAGTAACAAACATAAGCCACCAAATAATCTAAAACAAAGCTGAGGCTGGGCACGGTGGTTTACGCCTGTAATCCCAGCACTCTGGGAGGCCGAGGCAGGTGGATTGCTCAAGGTCAGGAGTTCGAAACCAGCCTGAGCAAGACCCCATCTCTACTATAAATAGAAAGAAATTAATTGACCAACTAAAAATATATATAGAAAAAATTAGCCGGGCATGGTGGCGCATGCCTGTAGTCCCAGCTACTCGGGAGGCTGAGGCAGGAGGATCACTTGAGCCCAGGAGTTTGAGGTTGCTGTGAGCTAGGCTGACACTCACTCTAGCCTGGGCAACAAAGAGAGACTCTGTCTCAAAAAAAATAAATAAATAAAACAAAGCTGAATTTATTGCCTTCCTAGCAGCTAGAGCCATCACTCAAACACAAGTTCAACAGATCCCTCTGAGCAAAATGAAAAAGATAAAGGCCAGAGCAGGATGTGGGGGGAATGGGCTGGAAAGAAGGAAGCACACCAAATAAGGCAAGATTCTAAATGATGGTCTCTTGTTGACTCACAAAGCAGATTGTCAAGTCATCTTCAAGTTCTGTCACTGACTCTAGGAACATGATTTCAAGCAAGTCTAAGATATAAATTATAAAACTGCAGTCCCCAACCCCCAGGCCATGGACCGGTACTGTTCAGTGGCCTGTTAGGGACTAGGCCATAGAGCTCCACCGTCCCCCTTGCATGAAACTGGTCCCTGGTACCAAAAAGGTTGGGGACTGCTGTGAAAGATTCCACCAGGCCTAGAGTCATTCGGCAGAGGTGCTTAAATGTGCATGTTTGAAGTTTAGCAACTTTTTTTGTTTGTTTAAAATTATGCCCAGCCCCTACTGGACAAAAATTTAAGGAGGAGTAAGGTTAACATTCTGTGTTCATGACTGATTTTGTTGGATTTATAATAGGTATATTTTCCTAGGATGTCATTTTTTTTTCCCCTACAAGCAATTTGTCATTTTTATTGGATATTTTTTTTTGGAGATCAGCCTTTTTCTATTACTTTATCCTGGAGAAAATGGATTCAGGTTTTAAACTCTGCTCCTTTCAATACATTTTTAGAGTATGTGTGCATGTTGTCCATTTGGCCATTATAGGTGTCTCCTGATTTTCATTTGGCAGGTGACAAAATTTTATTACATGAAAATTTAAAGATATGCCTATTAAGGAAACCAAAGCTTAGCCAAAAACATAATGTTCCCATGCTCTTACTATTTCACAATCACTTTTTAAATTTAGAAGAATGATGGGGAGGGAAACTTTGGTTCCACTTAAGTTCCTTTTCATTTATTAAATTCTAGTAAAATAAATATTTTATTTTGAAAAACTGAAACTCAATATCTCATAGTGATGAAACGGAGGAGGATTTTTACATTTTCATCTATATGCATTATGCTTTTCTGTAATTTTCTTTAAAAGTTAACCACAAACATGCATTACAGTAAGTCCTCAGTTAATGTCATCATTAGGTTCTTGGAAAACTGTGACTTTAAGTGAAATGACATATAACAAAACCAATTTTTTTCCTCATCAATTTTATATGCAAAGGAAATTGAACAAAACGACATTATCTGAAGACCAGTTGTCTGTTGTTTCGCTCAAAGTTGCAGTTTCCAATAACCTACTGAAGATGGTAAGTGAGGACTTACTGTATTTTTAAACCATTAAAAGTTATTTTCAGGCCGGGCGTGGTGGCTCACGCCTGTAATCCTAGCACTTTGGGAGGCCGAGGCGGGCGGATTGCTCAAGGTCAGGAGTTCGAAACCAGCCTGAGCGAGACCCCGTCTCTACCAAAAATAGAAATAAATTAATTGACCAACTAAAAATATATATACAAAAAATTAGCCGGGCCTGGTGGCGCATGCCTGTAGTCCCAGCTACTCGGGAGGCTGAGGCAGGAGGATCGCTTGAGCCC